TGGAGAAGAAAAGCAAAGAGTTCAGTTAATAGGAAACAAAACCGTACTCAGTCTAGTGATTGTATTTTTCTAACAAAATCATGTATTCAAATAAATTTTGACCTTGGTACACCCTAATTGCTCTGTTTCATCTCTCTTGCAGGTGTGTGTGGACTTTAGTTTTGATTCTACTCACTGCTGTGTTAAACATTACACTATGTTTGAGAAGACTGAGGAGAAGAAAACCTACTGTACTTCACTCTTGAAGAGAAGCCTAAGGACCTCCCAGTGTTTATGGTACCCACTGGCTATGCAAACAGGCAGGCCTCTTTGCCTGTGGCTTATTATTTGAGGGACCTTCCTGTAAACCCCTTTCCACCCCTGTCTGCTACGATCTACTTCTTGTCCCACATAAAGCGAGATAATATCCAACTATAAGTCTACTTGCAGAGTGAACTTGTAATTTCTCTCCAAGTTTACTCAAGTATACCCAACATCCTAATATCGACTCCTGTAATTGGTCAAAGATAGAGTAAAGGGGCCGTTGTCTCACCTGCTTGCCTGCTCATGTGCACGTGCATCCACACTCTCACACCATACACACATGTGCATGCATAATTCATTTTTGATGGTAGAAACAATGTTATACACCACTGTATCTGCCATTTTAGCATGATGCTTGCCACATAATAGGCTTGCAGTAAGTACCTGTTCAATGCATTAATAAACACATATCTTTAGGAACATTGTTACTTTCACAGCCTAGACTATGATTCAATGACTTGAGGTTGAATTTGTACCCTCAACAAAGTGTATGGTATTAATTTATTACATGATTAATACCTGCCATTGCTTTGAACTTAAGCATGTCTGAGAAAAGATGATTTTTACCTCATGACTTAAAAAAAACTATGAGGATTATAGTTATCTATACGTGTGTTGCATTTACTAACCATGCACTATGATTAACACAATTAATGATTTGGTTAAATATTTTAACAGCTTTATTGAGCTATAATTCACATAACATACCACTTACCTATTTAAAGTATGCAATTCAATATTTTTAGTAGAGAATTGTGTGACCATCACCACGATCAATTTTACAACTTTTCGTCACTTAAAAAAAGAGAAAAAAAGAAAAAAATACGTTCCCCTTAGCAGTCGCTCACCTTGGCAACCTCTAATCTAACCTCTAATCTACTTTCTGTGTCTACAGATTTGCCAATTCTGAACATTGAGGTATACAAGTATAATATGTGATCCTTTGTGAATGGACTCTTTCAGTTGGCATTATCTTTTCATGCTTCATCCATATTGTAGCATGTATCAGTACTTTATTCCTTTAGATGCTGAATAAAGTACCATTGTTTGTCTATACCACATTTTATTCATCCATTAATCGAGTGAAAAACATTGGAATTTTTCTACTTTTTGGCTATTTTGAATGATTTTGCTATGAAACTTTGTGAACAAGTTTTTATGTGGACATATGTTTTCAATTGTCTTGAATACATATCCAGGAGTGGAATTGCTAGGTCATTTGGTAACTCTATGTTTAACTTTTTTCAGGAGCTGCCAGACTGTTTTCCAAAGTAGCTACCCCATTTACAATACCACAAGTACTGTATAAGGATTCTATTTTCTCCACATCCTCAGCACTCCTTGTCATTATCTGCCTTTTTGATGTGGCCATCCTAGTGGGCATGAAGATGTTTGTCATTGTGATTTTGACTTGCATTTCCCTGATGGCCAATGCGCTGTCTTTTAGTATTTATTGGTCATTTTTCTATCTTCTTTGGAGAAATGTTTATGCAGATCCTTTGCTCATTTTAAAATTCAATTACTTATCTTTTTATTACTGAGTTAAGTGTTCATTATATATTCTAAGCACAGTTCCTTATCAAATGTACAATTGGCAATAATTTTTCCTATTCTATGGGTTGTGTTTTCAAGTATTTGATGATATTGTGTGTAGCACAAAAGTTTTTTAGTTTTGATGAAGTCTGATTTTTTTCTTTTGTTACTTGTGCAAAAAAATTAGCTGGGATTTTGATAGGGATTCATTGAATGTGTAGATCAAATTGAGGAATATTGCCCTCTTAACAAAATTAAGTCTTTCAATCTATGAACATGAGATTATTGTCATCATTCCAATATTTTCCAATATGTACATCAGCTTCACTGCCCCACATGTGCAGTCAAAGATATAACCCATATCTATAGTACAATATGGTAGTCAAGGGTATAGCCTCAGTGTTCTCATCTATAAAGTGCAAATAGTAATAAGTATCTCATAGGATGTAAGGATTAATGATAAATATTCACAACACTTTGCATAGTTCCCAGAACACAGTGAATGCTCAGTTAATCTTAGCTATTTGTCTTATTCTGTTTGGGCTGCTAATACAAAATATCACAGGCTGGATGGCTTATATACAACAAAAATTTATGTCTCACAATTCTGGAGGCTGGAAGTCCAAGGTCAGCGTGCCAGAATGGTTGCGTTCTGGGGAAGGCCCTCTCCCAGGCTGCAGAGAGCAGACTTCTCCCTGCATCCTCACATGGTGAAAGGGCCAAGGGGGCTGTCTCAGGCCTCTTTAATTAGGACATTAATCTCATTCACCAGGGCTCTGCTCACACGACCAAATCACCCCCCAAAGGCTGCACGCACCTCTTAATAGTATCACCTTGGGCATTAGGATTTCAACATATGAATTTTGAGGGACACAAACATTCAGACCATAGCACCATTTTTATTATATAGCCTTTAATGCTTAGTTGCTCAAAAATAATTATTTGATTTTTAAAAAAATTATTAGAGCCCTAATTTTCCCTAAGCATGCTTCCCTGTCTCTTTGGAACTCTTTGACTTGATATCTTGTTTCCCTCAAACTTTCTCTTTCTTCCTTAAGGATTGTCAAAAGCATGCTTCTGCCTCACCCCCAGAGTCTGTTTGAGATGCACTCTCATAAAAAGCTGGGGTGCTGATGGACAGGTCCAAAAGGAATGGCTGGTCAACTGATCAGAGCTGTTGCTCTTTCTTCCCATGTAACGTAAGTACATCTTAACGATGACACTGGATTTAATAACTCTTACCTTCTACAGTCTAATTTATACAGTCACACTGAGAGTGCTTTGTATAAAATGTAAGTTAAATCATTTTACCTTCCTCTTCAAACTCTTCTGCAATATCCCGTTCCTCTCAGAACAACAAGAGAAGCGTTATAAGGCCTCTGAAAGAATTGTAAGACTTGTAAGGCCCTATGTGATCTGGCTACTCTTTGACCTCATCTCTGACCACCATACTTTGTGCTAGCCTTTCCTCAAACCTGCCAGGCACACGTCTGCTCTAGGGCCTTTGTATTTGTTGGGGGGTTTTCCTGCCTACAAATCTCTTCCCATAGATATTCACGTTGCTTTCTTTTTTAGTTCCTCTATGGTCTTTGCTCAACTATCACCTTATCAATGAAGCTACCAACCCTATATAAAATAGCAAAACCTGTCCTCCACTTATCTTGCTTTATTTTTCTTCCTAGCATTTATAACCACCTGACACATTGCATATTTACTTGTCTGGTTATTTGTTTTCTCCTCTAGAATAATTACATGAGGACAGAAGTTTTCATGTTTTGTTTTCTGTGATATCCTGTGCCTATAACAATCCCATGCACATTTGGTATCCATTCAATATTTGTTGACTGAATGGCCTTCAAAAATGTCTTCTGATACAGGCAAGTACTTTTCGTAGTGCGAAGAGACCTGCGTTAAAGTACTTTTGCCTGGCGTCTGCTTTCAGTCAGGTGGAATCCTCTTGCCCTGGTTGGTCAAGGGATACATTCTATCATAAATTCAAACACATCTAGACACAGTCTTGTCCGTTTAAACTGGCAGAATTTCATGAAATGTTACAGCTAGTTCTAAAGGGGTCAGTCAGGTTTTTCCATTTGTTCCAAGCCACTGGCATCTCTTGGCACAACTGGCACAAGCACTGCAAGATGCAGGGCAAGAGAAAGCCCCACTACAGGAAGTGCAAATATGAGCTGGGACACCCTGCCTCCAACACTAAGATTGGCCCTGGCCGCAAACATGCAGTCCAGGTGTGGGGAGACAGCAAGAAGTACCAAGCCTTGAGGCTGGATGTGGCCAACTTCCTGGCGCTTAGAGTGTTGTATGTGCAAAACAGGGATTATTGATGTTGTCTACAATGCACCCAACAATGAACTGGTCTGTACCAACACCCTAAGTAAAGAACTGCATGGTGCTCATTGACAGCACACCGTACTGACAGTGGTACAAGTCCTGCCTTGCGCCTCCCCTGGGCTGCAAGAGGGGCCAAGCCAGCTCCTGAGGAGGAAGAGATTTTAAACAAAAAGAGATCGAAGAAAATTCAGAATAAATATGATGAAAGGAAAAAGTGCCAAAATCAGCAGTCTTCTGGAGGAGCCGTGCCAGCACAGCGAGCTTCCCGCGTGCGTCACTTCAAGACCAGGCCAGTGTGGCCGAGCAGATGGCTGAGTGCTAGAGGGGAAGGGGCTGGGGTTCTAGCTGAGGAGGATCAAGGCCCAGAAAGGTAAATGAATCCTCCTTCTTCCTTTCTTAAAAGCTTATGTAAAATAGGTATTTATTCTGGAAAAAAAAAAAGTGGACAGAGAGAGATTTAAAGGTACAGAAAGGTTGAAAGGTATCCGATTACTGGTCTCAAAGTCCTCCCTTCCCCCCACGGAATATTCTTTTAGTGTAAGATTGGTTTAATGATTTTATCTTGTTCTTACTCAAAAAATGGATCTAATGCTACTCTGCCTTCTCCAAAGACATAGAAGATATCCAGGTAATGGATTTAGAAGATCTTAGAAGACCGTGCTTTTGACAGCCATGGTTAACTGTGCAGTTGGAGGGCTTAGCAGGTGACATAAAGCTGGAACTACATTTCCCAGAGTTCATGCCCAGGAGGATTCTGGGAAGTGTGGCAGAGGCTGCGATGGTCCCTCTGGGCGAGGAAAGCCCCACTTCCCAGCAACGTTTAGAGTTCCCTGATATCTGCTGACTATTGAGGCCTAGGACGGCATCCCCAATAGAGTTCAGAGTGAGTACAATGGGTCAGAAAACTGTTCAGGTTCTAAGTGCAGGAGGCATTTTATGAGAAGATATAAGCAGAACTTGAAAAAAAAAAAACCAACAACAAACAACCCTCTCAGTTACAGCATTTTGCAATTTTAGCTTAGTCCCTTTTCCTTCTTGTAGAAACCAGGGAATGACCACAGTTCTGCACCATAATTTGTGGAACTATCTTATTAACTACAGCTGATAATTTTCTGGTACTTTTTTGGAGAGTTGCTTGAAAATGGAATCGCTAACTTCTCTGCACTGTGCCTGAATTATTCTTTAATTAAGGGAGGAAAAATTAGTTTTTAGAAAGTAAACCGTAAAGCTGGTCAGTGAGATGTTGAACTCTGTATCCCAGTGGCCGTTCCGTTTTGCACAATTCCCACCCCATTCTGGCCACTGTAATGAAGAGACAGACTCTCTGAAGAGCTCTCTCAAACACTACGGAACCTGGCCTCTTGGTAAAACTAACCAGGGAGATTCAAGACAGGCTTTTTTGTCATGCTGTAGTGTTTGATAAATTAATCTTTCTTCTGTTAAGATGAGCAGGATGAGAAACATGTGAATCATTCATTACAGGGTGTTCAGAGAAATTGTTCCTATTAAGGGATTTGCTTCATCATTTAATAGTTTTCAGTAAAAACAATATTACCTTTCATCTTTACCAGTCTTTGTACTTTTTAAAAACATAAATAATAAAATGAATGTTAGAAAATGCTTTCCCCCCTGGCTGGTGTGGTCAAGTGGATGGAGTGCTGGCCTTCAAACCAAGGGGTCGCTGATTCTATTCCCAGGCAGGGTACATGCCTGGGTTGTGGGCCATGTCCCCAGTAGGGGGTGCATGAGAGACAACCATACATTAATGTTTCTCTCCTCTTTCTCCCTCCCTTCCCCTCTCTCTAAAAATAAATAAATAAAATCGTTTTAAAAAAAGAAAAAGAAAAGAAAATGCTCTCCCATCTATTTCTTATTAAACATGAGCTTTGGAGCCAGATAGCCCTGGGTTTGACTCTGCTGTTTCCTAGATTGTGGTCTCAGGTTGGTTAACTTCTCAAAGCTTTATCTTCCTGTAAAATGGGTAAGTTCATTTATTCATTCATGTATTCATTCATTTGTGTATTAATATATTGTTGTACACTGTGCTAACTGTTCTAGATAGGGAAGACGCAATCCTAACCTTTAAGGATTTTATCATTGAGAAGTAGGTGTGCAAAACCTGATATTGTTGTAATACCCTTAGATCCTTATTCTTTCCTTCTTTCCCTTGTGGGAATTTATAGCCCAGACTGAACTTGTGACCTGGGGCTATCACTTAACTTGTCAGAGCTTGGTTTTGGTCCGAGGAATAAAAGGAATAACTAGGAATAAAAGGACCTGAGTCTGTCCAGTGCTACATCCCTGTTCTTCCTTGCTTTGGAGACATGCCTTTGTACTGTAAACAAAATAGAAGGCAGGCCTAAGCTTGTCATCTAAAGTAAAATAAATAATGGTGCTGATATTTTCTGCCAAATGTGTTTTGTAAATAGTGAACTTTTATCCTCAGTGTGCCATCGGGCCTTAAAACACAGCAGTATTTGCCAACACAAACAATAACAACTATTCTGATTGTAAAGTCGCCTTTGAGCAGACGGATGTGAGTATGGTGACATGTTTATCAAATCTGACTCCCCGGGCCAGTACACTTTGAATTATGCCTCACACTGAAGACCCCAAAAGACAGTGAAAAATCACAACTATTTCAGAAAAAAGTAGAAAATTTTCACTGCAGTTTACTTCTGAATAGTATAGGGCTCTAGGAAATTATATTTTCATCCTAAAATAATCTCACATATCCTCTTCGCTGTTAAAAGAGCTTCTTCTTTTTTTTTTTTTGTCCTGAGGTTCTGTCTGAATGAGTGCTTCAAAGAGAAAAACAGTACATATAGCAGTTGGTTCCTAAGTGCATTTTGGAGATCAAGTTGTGGAATATACTGTAAATGTACTATAATATTTTTTAACTTTATTTTTATTGTTTACACTATTACAGATGTCCCCATTTTCCCCAGCTTTGCCTACCACCCCCCACCCCCGACTGCTCTCCTCCCTTTTTTCCTCTGCCCATCCCCACACTGTTGTTTGTGTCTATGGGTTATGCATGTATGTTCTTTTGCTAATCCCTTCATGTTCTGTGGTCCAGTCCCCTCTGCTCCCTCCCCTCTGACAGCTCTTAGTCTGTTCCATGTATCTATGCCTCCATTTCTATTTTGTTCATTACATTCTACATATAAGTGAGATCATATATTTGTCTTTCACTGGCTATATTTTAAAAATTAGAATGGTCAAAAGTAGAGTAAAACCACAATTAATAAATGAGCACAGGGTATCAGACATTTTACAAAAGAGAACAAGGACTATTAAATCTGAAAACACTTTCAATCTCTATAGTGATCAAAGGAATAGAAAAGTTTTTTATTTTTATTTTTAAATATATTTTATTGAGTATGCTATTACAGTTGTCCTATTTTTTTCCTCCCCTTTATTCCTCTCCACCCTACACTGCCCACCCATCAGCATTTACCCCCGACCCCCGCCCTCCGCCTTAGTTCATGTCCATGGGTTGTACATGTAAGTTCTTTGGCTTCTCCATTTCCTATGCTATTCTTAACCTCGCCTTGCCTGTTTTGTATTTATGCTGCTTATTCCCTGTACCTTTTCTCCCATTCTTCTCTTGGCCAGATTGGGGAAGTTCTCCTTCATTATTTTTTCAAATAAGTTTTCAATTTCTTGCTTTTCCTCTTCTCCTCTGGCACCCCTATGATTAGGATGTTGAATCATTTAAAGTTGTCCCAGAGGTTCCTAAGCCTCTCCTCATTTTTTTTGAATTCTTGTTTCTTCATTCTGTCTGGTTGAATATTTATCTCTTCCTTCTGCTCCAAATTGTTGATCTGAGTCCCACTTTCCTTCCCCTTCCTGTTGGTTCCCTGTATATTTTTCTTTATTTCACTTTGCATAGCCTTCACTTTTTCCTCCATTTTGCAACCATACTCAACCAATTCAGTGAGCATCCAGATTACCAGTGTTTTGAACTGTGCATCTGATAGTTGGCTATCTGTTCATTGCTTAGTTCTATTTTTGGAGCTTTGATCTCTTCTTTCATTTGGGCCATATTCCTTTGTCTCAGTGCACCTTGGAAATAGTTGGGAGGGACAGAGCCTTAGGCATTCGCCAGGGTGGGGAAACCCAGGTTGCTGATTGGGAGGCTGTCTGTTGGGGAGGCGTCTGAGAGGGAACAGTGATGCTTGCTTGGCTCTCAGCTGGCTTTCAGTCACTTCCTCCCCTACCCATAAGCAAATTGGATGCTTCTGGTGCCGATTCCCGGATTGGTGGGTTCTAGGACCCTGTGGGTCTCTCCAATGGACTCTCCTGTGAGGCTGGGAGTTTCTCCTGCCACTGTAACCCCCCCAGATTTTTACAGCCAGAGGGTTTGAGGCTTTCTTTTCTCGTACCAGAACCCTGAGTGGTGGGGGTCTGTCTTGCTCCCCACCTGTTCCTCCGGTTTATCTGCATGCAAATGTGGGACCACCCTGCCTGTCTCTGCTCCTCCTACTGGTCTGGATGAATGTTTCTTCTTTAGCCCCTTAGCTGTCAGATTCCCATGCAGTTCGATTTTCTGGCAGTTGTGGTTATTTTTTGTTTTTAAATTTGTTGTCCTTTTGGTTATGCAAGGAGGCAAAGTATATCTACCTACACCTCCATCTTGGCCAGAGGTCTCAAAAAGATTTTTTTAAACTACATGCTCTTGAATCTTTTAAATGTGACAATGTGTAGAAAGGGCCATTGATTTTATTTTTAATTTTTAAAAGTATTTTATTTATTTTTTTAGAGAAAGCGTAAGGGAGGGAGAAAGAGAGGGAGAGCAACGTTGATGTGAGAAAGAAACATCAATCAGTTACCTTTTACATGCCTCCAACTAGGGACCTGGCTTGCAATCCAGGCAGGTGCCTGACCAGGAATCAAACTGACTACTCTTTGGTTTATGGGATGGTCCCAAACTACTATGCCACACCAGTCAGGGCAGAGACACTGATTTTAAAATAAATTTTATCCCAATAATTCTACTTTGGATAGCATCTTAAAAAAAATAACTTGAAAATATCAGTGAAGAGGTATTTAGGTGGTATTTCTGATAATTTAAAATCAGAGCAACCTAAAATGTCTAATATGAGTATGCTTAAATGTAATATTTTGAAGCTTCTATAAAAACATAGAAAACTGTAACATGTTTCATGAAAGCAAGCTGAAAAAAGTCCTCTGATTATAAATATGTAAAAATTATGTGTAAAAAGTCTAGAAAATACATATTAAATATGTTATTTTTATGTGGTGATATAATGGGTGCTCTTACAAATATGTTTTCCAGATGTCCTGTAATGTGCTTATATTAATTTTGTAATTTAAATTATCTGTTTAAAAGAGAAAAATATAGTAATAGCTGAATTTTAAGAACATCATTTTCTATTCTTTGACTTTTAAATGGACTCTACACTGCTTTTATATAAGATACTTATAAAAATATACAAGGGACCATTTAGAAAAGGAATTAGATTTAATCTTTATCTTCTAGGCTTATGACTGTACCAATGAAGGTACAATTCTCAGTTAGAATAATCCTGGTTTTACTCTTGGTTATTGATATTTTTTTAAAGCTACATTAAGAACTTTACCATGTTTTCTTTTTCTTTTTCTTTTTTAATTTATTGGGATGACATTGGTTAATAAGATCATATAGGTTTTCAAGTGTACATTTCTATGATACATGCCCATGTTTTCTACCAGCTCTGCGACCGTCATCCTTGAGTTAAAAGGTCATGGTACTTCACAAGGAGCAGAATTTATTAGCAGAAACCAGGCAAAACATCAGGCAGTCAAGTGCAGTGGGCCCCACAGACTATCATAGTTATAACTAAAACCAAACAGCTCTTACAGTTCTCAGGGTTCAAGGACCACCGCAAAGGCATTCGTTTTGGCTCCCAGGGAATATGATGAGGTACTAGTAGAAACAATGGCCTGGAAATAGGATCACTGTGCAGTTAGTCCCAGGAACTACTGCTTATTATTCTTTATTTTATTGTAAAAGGAGTATGTATACATGGTTAATTGTTTTTGAAGTTCAGAAATGTATGAAGTAAAAATTACAGGTACCCTTTTCAATCTTTATTACCATCCCACTCTGCCAAATTAGTCACTGTTAACAGTTTGGTATGTGTACTAGTCACTTTAAAAATATAAATATTGAATAAATATATCTAATTTATGTATTCTTGTATGTATATCATATGTTCTTTTCTTTCTTTTTATCCTAAACTGAGATTTTTTTCTTTTCTTTTTCTTTTTTTTAAAGATAGAGAGGGGGAGAGGAAGAGAGAGAGAGAAATATTGATACGAGAGAGGAGCATTCATTGGTTGTCTACGGGACGCACCGAGACTGGGGATCCTACATGCCCAGACTGGCGATTGAACCCACAACTTAGGTATGTGCCCTGACCAGGAATCCCCCTTTTTGGTTTCAGGATGACGGTCCAACCACCTGAGTCACACCGGCCAGGGCAATGTATGTCCTTTTCTTTATAAATTATTTAGATCAGATTAAACAAATGAAAAATTGCTTCCTTTTCTTAATGTATTCTATCTTTCCTGCTTACTGCATATATATATTTTTCTACTGTTATTTTATTTTCTAATAGCTGTGTATCATTCCCTTTTATCATAATTTTCAGTTAACATTCCTGTACATATCCTTTCCTTCTTAGGATAAATTCCTAGAAGTGGAATTGCTAGGTGAAAGGAAAGTTTATTGCATTCTCAGAGATGTGTATGAGACAGAAATATGGACTTTGGATACCTTTCTTCCAGTATATCACACAAGTCTAATCACTTTTAAAACTCCCCTAGGATGCTTTGTAACCGGCATATCACATTCTGCCTTCTGTGAAATTACTTGTTTTCTCTCTCCTGCTAGAGTCACTTGAGAGCAGGATTTTCAACCTGTACATTTTTGTTTTCCTTATTAGCCCTTGCATAAAGCCAGTGCTCAGTTGAATACTTTGTTGAATGTCACTTGCTAAATATAATTTACCCTTGGCTAGGAAAAAGGTAGCCCAAACTGTCCAAGGATTAGTTGTTAGTGTTTCATAATGAGGCCACCAAGAATAGTCCTAAAATTTAGATATTCCTTGGTAATTTAGTGTCAAGGTTTGTTTCCCTTGGGCACAGTTAAAAGGGTGGCTGGTTATTTAATTGTACTGATTTTCTCATTACAGTGGGACTTTTTGACTCTTTTATTGCTAATATAAAATGTACTTTTCATGAAAAATAAAACACTGATATACAATTTAAAAGGCACCACCTTCTGCAGAATATATTTTTAAGATATAGCATTTTTTTCCCTCTCACAGTGAAATACAAAAAAAAAGAAAATATTTTAGATCCATATAGCCTTGCATAGCTGCCTTTTGAAATATTTTCCTAATGGCCATGATTTTATATTTTTCTTATCCACAGGATTCCTTTTACTTCATATTCAGAGGGACTTTGGTTTCCATGTATTCTGAGAAACGTGGCTCCATTACTCTGGACGCTCCTAAACTTACTTGGTCTGTTAGAGTAATGCTAGCAGCTGTAACAAACTGAAATTTCAGTAGCTTAATATGGTAGAAGTTTATTTCTTACTCATAACTTGTCCAAGGTTAGGGGGGAGGTTGGTGGGGGATGGTCTTTCTCCATGTAGTGATTTAAGGATCTAGGCTTCTCCATTTAATGGTTCTGCCAATCTAGAGTCTTCTAAGCAGAAGGGGAATAGAAGGATAAAAAGACATCTCCACTTCTTAACTGCCTCAGCCTAGAAGAGATACACATGACTCCACTCACATTCCATTGTTAGGACTTAGTTTTAGCTCTATTTATATACAAGGGAGGAGAGAAATGTGGGCCTTGGTTCAGCAACTACCTCCCAGCAACAAATCCACAATATGGAAGGAGAAGCACACATTACTTTTAGATAGCTGATTCTCTTAACAACAGGTTAGGTAGGCAGAAGAGGTTTTGAATTTGTACATTAGGAAAGACATACTGAAAAGTTAAAATCTCACAGCTTGTTAGGGGTGGAAATGCAATTTAGAAGCCAGGTCACCTGACTCCTATTCAGTTTCTCTTAATATTAAAGAGTAATACTATTCTGGCTTAAAGTATAACCATCTTGGTGATTCATTGCTTTAAATTGCATACTGTGATCTTTTTCTTTTTTTTTAACTCTTTCCTCTAAGGACCCGACAATGTCTCTGTATTGTGGAATTGCTTGCAGGAGAAAATCTTTTTGGTGCTATAGGCTGCTGTCAACCTATGTCACTAAGACCCGGTAAGTTTTGACCAAACTGAGCTCTGATTATTCAAATGTTGAACCATTAAATTATAAAAATTTCAAAATCCTATATTGAGGATTAAGGTTATATGATTAAGGTTGATATATAAGGATGTTCACTGAAAGTTATTTGTAATTGGAAAATTTTTAAATAAACTAAATTTCCAATAATATCTAAAGTACCTGACATACTTAAGTTCTATTAAGATAGGAATTGTGTCTTTTCCACTGTGATGCCCCTAGTGCATAAAACTACCTGGCACATAGTAGGCACTGAAGCATTGTTGCATGGCTGAATGAATAGGTAGGGAGAAATTAAACTACAGCAAACCCATATAATGGTATTAAAAACTATACTGAATAATAGTTCATTAAGTTTCGTTAGAATAAGGTAAATAACTCCAATTCTGATACCCACTGCCACCAAAGAACTAAACATCAGTGAAAAGTGGACTAGGAAAAATCAATCTGTACCAGTATCAGAAAATGATAAGTGACTTCTTTGTCACAGCCTGGACAAATTTGATATCTGTGAATTTGAAATCACTAGCCTGCTCTCATATAGTTTGGTAGTTTAAATTTGTATCATCGATATGGTGCTGTCCAAAAATCCCCTATCGAAGAAAAGAATTTAAGTAGCAGTCCTAGACTAATGGTACCGCGGGACACCTTGCAGAAGCAAGTGTAAAATTCCTCTGGAGGGGAATACTCATGACCAGGTCTTCCCACGTAGAAAGCTCTGCCAAATATGAGTGCCAGTCCGAAATGTAAAGGCACACAAGCCTGCAGCCTTACAGGAGCAAGGGTGAGAACACAACAAAATTGCAGTATGTGTTTTAGATATTGTTGGGCACTTAGGTTATTTGCAGTTCTCAGGCTGAGACTCTGAGAATAACAGAATTATTGAATAGTCTAAAAATGAGTGTTAAGTGATTAAATATATTTAAACATTAATCAAAAGTCATGAGAAAATAAAATTGTATTAATAAGGAACATTGTGTAAAAAATGTTAATATGTTTAAGAAAAAAGGCTACAAATTAGCTCTGGCTGGTGTGGCTCAGTGGATTGAGCGGCAGCCTGCAAATCAAATGGTTGCTGGTTTGATTCCCAGTCAGGGCACATGCCTGGGTTGCAGGCCAGGTCTCCAGTAAGGGGCGTGTAAGAGGCAACCACACAGTGTTGTTTCTCTCCCTCTTTTTCTCCCTCCTTTCCTCGCTCTCTAAAAATGAATAAAATCTTAAAAAAAAACGGCTACAAATTAGTAGGTATGAATCTAATAGACCTATATATGTATACATGCCTAATATTAATAAATAATTTGGAGAATTTCAAGGTGTAAACAGTGATCATCTCTGAGTTGTGGATTCCTGATGATTTCTTTTCATGAAAAAATTGATAACTGTAATTCCTGATTTTTATAGAATGACTATTTTTTACTTTTATAATATGAATAAAACAGTTTAAGTTTGATCTTAATTTTTTGGTTTCCATGCTATTATAACTAAAGGGTAAAAAATGAATTTTTAAAAATAGTGTTTCTGATCAAGAATGTAAAACTTTTTGGATCTCAGTCCCAGTTCCAATGAGGCCCCAGGTTTAAGACCTTAACCTCGGTGTTTTGCTTTTTAGGGTCATTAGGGCAAAGCACAGGTTGTACCACTCTTTCTGTTCTTTTACGAAGGCAGCTGTGTTTGTTCTATTGTTTATATTTGGGAACTTCTGAGTGGCACATGTTTCTCCTTTGACATACATTGAGTCTTTGCCCCAGGAGGCTGCAGTCACTCATAATTAGTTTATAAATATCACAAGTATTAAAATCTCAGGTTTCCTTTGTCTCCTGTCCATAAAGAGATCTTTGTAACCGCTTTTATCACACAGTCAAAAATAGGCTTCTAAAGATGTTGCTGGGACGTGTTTATCATTTTGCTTTGTAGTTTTATGTTGAGCCAACTCTGCCTACTGGTGTTACAAAAGCATGCAGATCCTACAGAACATAGCTGTAAATCTGGTTTCCTGTTTAAGTACCAAAATACGCCATATACCTAAGAGTCTCTTTTAGGGCTTTCAACGGGCAAAAACAGTTATCTCTAAGGCCCAGAAAGAGAATCTACATTCGGTTTCCTCTACCTCTCACATCATAGGAAAGCTGACCTGATTCCCAGAACTCTTAAAAGGATAGACTTAGGCCATCCTTAATGAAGACACTGGAAAAGCCTAGAACTTGCGCCAGTACAATTTCTTTTACAATAGAAGCTCATTATATGATATTCTCCTTTCCACATTTTTATTTTGGCTACTGAAAATGTTACACTTAAATAAGTCAAGTAATGGCTTCACTTTCCCATCAGTGGTCCCTTCAGTACAGATAAGGAGCAAATGGTGCCCACTTGGGCGACTAGATAGTTGAAAGAATGGTGCATTGAAGATAAAATTTGCTCTTTATCTTCCCTAGATCGAATGAGAGTTACTGAAGGTATAGTGTTTATTCTTTGGCCACAATAATTGTCTGCTTCTATCTCTAGGTATTCTGTGGTTGATGTTTTATCACTGTACTTGTTTTCCTTTCAATCCACTGCAGGTAAATTCTTGCCTCACAGTGTAATATTGGCAAAGTACCTTGAGGTTCAGTTCAGTAAATATTTATTACCCTTGAAGCTCAGTTCGATAAATATTTATGGAATTGAGCCATTCGATATGCTAATTACTGGAGATACAGAAGTAAGGCAGACCCTGCCCTTAAGAAATCCTTCACAGAGGAATGTAGGATATAAATAAAGAAGAAGAAATAACTATGGTAGGAGAGGAATACAGGAATAGGATGCTGTACAAGTAAATAAATGTGGCTTTATGATGCTTTATTTCCCAAACACAGGTATTTATTTGAACTGAAGGAAGATGATGATGCATGTAAAAAAGCCCAGCGGACAGGAACATTTTACCTCTTTCATAACCTGGTTCCTTTGCTTCAGAAATCAGAACATCACTACCTGCTGCCCCAGTTTAGCCTATTAGGTAAGCCCAAAGTAGAGTAGACCAGTCTGTGGCCACTAAGCAGAATTCAGTCCATATTGAATCCCTGAGAAGGATCCTCCAACTTTAAAGTACAGATTTTTTTTTCAATTTGCTTCTGTCAATTAATTATGTAGTGTATAAACTTGTGTTGCCCAGTCAAATGGTATTTGGTGATGGTATGAACCACTACTGCCTGAAACCAGGGGTTGGCAAAACTGCTGGCCATATTGGAACCTGCCACGTTTCATAATAAATTTTTATTGGAACAGAGCCACCCTCATTCATTTACAGATTGTCTATGGCTGCCTTTGCACTATAATGACAGAGCAGAGTAGTTGTGACAGAGCTCAAAAGCCTGTAAGATTTGGCCACCCCCGCCTTAGACATGATTTCCAGCCTCCATGGAATAGAACATTGTTATACTGGCCAGAATTTGCACTATGACTTCATTTCTCCTGGAAGGGTCAAAATTAAAAGTGAATTAAAACTAATTTGTTTCTAGAACTCTCTTGGGTTATATAACCAGAGATATCTAAGCTGCTGGGATTTGGCTTTCAAGATACTTTGAGTTTTCAAGATACACTGACTAACTTTGAAATACATTGCCCGTTAATTTCCTACCGGGGACAGATGTTGGAGTTTCTGATTAGGGAGCTTCTAGCACTACAGAAGAACAGGAGGATGCCATCAGAGGCACTAAACGTGGAGATTTAGTGATGTTTTATGAACAAGTAAATATGAGTCTTCCATGAACAGGAGGACAGGTTTTCTCCCCAGACAGCACTGGTCTTATACAGACTGGGATCTCAGATGGACATTCAACTCTGGCTCACAGAAGGAGCTTAGTCTGGAAACTAAATTATACAGTTGATCTGGTCTCTACCATTTTAAATGTGACTTTTTTCAGTGTCGTAATAACTATCATGGATCTTTTGAACTAGGGGATATGCTCCTTTCATAATACAATCACAGAGTAAAACAGGGTTACATGGGAAAAATTCCTTCTTCAGTCTGAACTCCTCGGATCACTGATGAGAAAACGGAGGCCTAGAGAGGTTAAGCGATTAGACCAAGTCAATGTAGCTAATTAGCTGCAGGGTGGCGACTGAACCCAGGTACACCTACTTCAGGCTGAAGTAGATGGTTTCCTGTAAGTTTAAGATGGCCTAGGTGGTTTAATTAAAGCCCTTGTTTTTCTCTCTTCTCCTCTTCTGTTTCTTAGAGTTGGAAAAGCTCCTGGGTAAGTTTGGACAGGATACACGAAGAATAGAAGATTCTGTGCTGATTGGATGCTCTGAACAGCATGAAGCACAGTTTGCCCTGGACCTAGGTCTAAATAACTCCTCTTCCATAAATGGTACACATTATTCCTGTTGGGAATTCTCAGACTTTGAGATTTCATGTGATAGTAAAATTAAAAAAAAAATATTGGGGGAACTAGAGAAAGGTTATCAACTTTTCTATTTTTAAGTTAGGACAAAAAATACTACCATCTACTATTGTCATTTTAAAGAAAATAAAGGAATTTTAATGCTTTCCAAGGTAGGTGGTGGATACAAAGATGTTTATTGTATTCTCTATGCCTTTATACATTTTATGTCATAAATATCTCATAAGAAATGTTTTAAAATTCATGACATCATTCTTATATCTCTTATCAATGCAAGTGAATAAACATGTTACCTTGAAGTAGCTCTGGGTCTTCAGACCTGCGTTTGGGAACTGGTTTGCTACAGGCTCATGGTTCCTATCAGGATTTTCTTCTCTCTTTCAGGGTGTGTGTCCAAACATAATGATGCTGACATGAGGTTCAGATGGGCGCTTAGAGGTCCCATTTCATCTTTTTTCCAGGGATAGTGTTTGGCTAGTACAAGTGTTCTTACTGCTTTGAAAAGGAGCTTGGGAAATAGCACTATGCTGTTTCCCAAATTCGCCTAAATATAAAAATCACCTGGTGCTTTTTAAAAATGAAGAATTCTGGGCCTCACCAGGTGTTCAGAATGTCCACATAGGGCTGGAGAACCTGCGTATTTTTTATTTTCCCTAGCTGAGTCTTATTTGGCAAGTTTGGGAAACTGTTCGAACAGGATATACTTGAGAAGGGCCCGAGGCAGTTTGACATTTGTTTCATTTCATTCTCTTTTCTAATTTTCTAGCTTCTGTACAGAAACCAGAAATGGAGACAGAGCTCAAGGGGTCTTTCACTGAGTTGAGGAAGGCTCTCTTTCTGCTGAATGTGAAGGATGCCTCCTTGCTATCCACGGTAGATTCCAATTTCTCAGTTCTGTAGGAAATTTAGTAAAGCAGTATATAAGGGCAAATACTACATGCATAACACATGGCTAGAATAGATTATAGTTCTTTTGTACAGTTCTTCCTACAGACCTTGGCAGAAAGACAATGTGCTGTAGGGAGATTGCTTATTCTTTCTTTTGTCCTTGTTTTTGTCAGGATTGCTGTCAGGACCAGGACATGCAGATCTATGGCATCTATCGGCCTCATAAACATTTTTAATGACCCACAGCATGTCATGTATCTTTCCTATAAGAAGTTATTTTTTATTGCTTTGACTCATCCTCATAGCTTTACATTTCATTTGCTGAAGTGCTTTTGATTATCCGTTTAATTTAGAGAGATCTCTAAAACATCTTTTATTTGCAAAAACATTCAAACTTTATTGAGGAGGGATACATGTTGGGATGTTCAACTATACTGGAAATGTCTTTATTTTTAAGCTGGGTCATAAGTACGTGGGTGTTCATTATAATTCTTTATATATTACATATAAATAATTCATAATACATTTAAAATATACTTTCTTTTATTCATGTTTCAGATGCAGGAGGAATATGTTCAATAGTTTCCTTATTTTAAAGTTTAATAACTAAAGTAGGTAAACTGGAAAGGCATTGGCATTTCCCTTTGAGCTGCTCTCAACACTAGGCCCCGCACTGTTACAGATCAGCCTCACGCGCTCTCCAAATGAAACCAAGCCCATCTTTGTGTTGCTAGGCTCAGGCTCTCCTCCGCTGGCATGATGCTCATCAGTTCTGCAGCAGAAGTGGGCAGCCCACCAAGAAGAATATGGCTGGCAGCAAGCGTGTGTGCCCTTCTAATAAGATCATATATTATCCACAGGTAAGCACAGCTTTAAAAGGACAGTAACCCAAGAAGGCTGTGCACTGCTTTGTCCTGGGGATGGAAGCCTGTACAATTAAAAGGCTCTCCTTGGTGATTCGTCCCTTCATCCTATTTACAGGCTCCAAAGCCCTAGTGTCTAAGTTTCCTTCCCCTTTTCCTAGATGGCTCCTGTGGTGATCACTCTGGTGTCAGATGGGACTCGATGCCTGCTTGCCCGTCAGAGTTCCTTCCCCAAGGGAATGTACTCTGCCTTGGCAGGTTTTTGTGATATAGGTAAGTTTAGGGCATGTACAGATGACACTGGAAGACATGAAAGCACATCAATAGTAGTAATTCCTTTGCGTTGCTGTCATAGTGCTTGGAGTCTCAAGCACATTCTTCTCTACGATGTCAATTAAATGCCTCTGGCATTATAATTTTTCAGTATTTTGTAGGCATACTTTCAAACACGCAGATAGTTGAAGGAACTATACAGTGAAAACCCATATACTCACCACCTAGACTCTAAATTTTTTTATACTTACCTTATTACACACATATCAATACATTCTTCTATCAACCCATCAATCCATCTTACTTTTTGATGCAGATGTAGCATACTTCTCCCTAAATATTTCAGCATGTGTAATATTAACTAGAATTCAGTATTTATTTACAGGTCCCCCCTGCCCGCCTCAGTCTGTTGGTATAAAATGTGCAACGGTAAAATGTGGCATTAGAATTTTATTAAAGCTGAGGACCACAGGAACCTCTCCCACTGCCACTCTTTTGTATTGTAGCTATTTTGTATTGTATTGAGCATTGCAGTTCAACACGCAACTCTAGACTTGATTCCTATTGTAGAGACTCAGAGATTTAAGGCTTTCCCAAGAGTATTTCACTGACACTTTGGAGCCAGTTTTGCTGTTTCACAAGTGGGCATCTGTATCACCCTTCCTGCTGCAGGGCTGTCCTGAATTAATCTGAGTGCTTGTAGGTGAAAGTCTGGAAGAGGCAGTCCGGCGAGAAGTTGCAGAAGAGGTGGGCTTGGAGGTGGAAAGACTGCAGTACTCTGCGTCCCAGCACTGGCCCTTTCCTAACAGCTCACTCATGATTGCTTGCCATGCAGCTGTGAGTCCAGGACAGACAGAGGTCAGTTCTGATGCTTCCTGTATGCTGTGGTTATTTCCTTTGCCTCATCCAAGCTTGTCAGTAGCTACTTACTAAGCACCTGTCTAGTCCACCATTGTCTAGATTATACAAAGATGTGTAAAATATGATTTATATCCTTAAAGGATTTGCAATCCTGTAAGGAAAATAATCACCATGGAAACTAGGAGGCCAACATGATCACGATCCTTCCTTGCATATATCTCAATCATGAGACAATTGACATTTCATCATCAGGACTTAACACAGCATCTCCCATAGATTAGGCACATAATATATCAAATTTAATGATTTTTTTAAAGAATATTTTATTTATTTATTTTTAGAGAGGGGAAGAGAGGGAGAGAAACATCAATGTGTGGTTGCATTTTGTGCACCCCGTGCTAGGGACATGGCCTGCAACCTAGGCATATGCCCTACACTGGGAATTGAACCAGCGACCCTTTGGTTTCCAGGCCAGCGCTTAATCCACTGAGTCACACCAGCTAGGGCTAATGATTGATTTCAAGATTGATGTTATTGCTCAAGTGAATCAGGATGTTGCATGCTAATAATTATTAATAATTATTGTCAATTACATAATAATGATTATAGGCCTTCTGGTTGAAAGGTACTTAGATATTGTCTTATCTAACCTCATGTTGCTCAGCTGTAGCATCCCTGACAGATGGCATTATGGTTCCTATCTACCAAAGTCTATTGTGTTTTGGTTTCTATGGAATGGATATCTTTCTCAGCTTCCTATGATTGAGTTTGTATTACTTTGTTTCTTACAAAGAAGAAACTATAATTTTGAGTATCATTAATTAACCTTTCTCTTTTAAAGTAACATTTGTGTATTATATCAACAGAGGCACAAAGAAAAATAAGTATTATTCATAATTTATGTTAACTACTCTTAATATTTTAGTATTTGTACTTCCAGGATTTAAAAATTTTTTTTTTTTACTATTAAAAATATATTTAACTCTTATCTCTTAATTATGCCTCTTTTGCTTCTGGGCACTATCTAGAATTGATTATTTCCCAGACTATGGATCCCAAGTATTATCTTCTAAAATTGCTCAGTTCTAGAACCATTTTCTCACCTTTGGCCATAGTATTCTAAATTTTGTAGCTCCTAATCTTACATTCTGTCTTTCCTTATGTCTTTCAGATCCAGGTGAACTTGAGAGAACTAGAAGCAGCTGCCTGGTTCAGCCATGATGAAGTGGTCATGGCCTTGAAGAGAAATGACCCATATACTATGCAACAGAGGGGGACTTTCCCATTCTGGTTGCCTCCTAAGTTAGCCATTGCCCACCAACTGATTAAGGAGTGGGTGGAAAAACAAACCTGTTCTTCCCTGCCTGCTTAGCTCAGATCAAGCCACCTAGATTGCTACTCAGTATCTCAGAAGGACATGTCAAGTATCAGTTAAAAAGGAGAGGTGACAAAATGCCATATCCAGTCAACCTCATGTTAAGGCAGAGTAAGGTGAGCAGAGAATAGGAAATCAAAAATGCCAGAATGAGAAAAACCAATGAGATGGCAATTGTCAAAGCCAGAAAGAAGGTTGAAGCTTTAGTTTAGATGTAGGCCTTTCTCCAAGGCCTTGGGAGCAAATAACTTTTGGCATATGGCTTCTTAATGCTGGGTTTATATCTAACTACCAAAATGTGCCTGGTATAATTTTTGTTAAAACTTTTATCTTAGTATTAAAAATATATAGCAAATCTCAACCCACTGAGTTACTTTTTATCTTCATAGACTTAATAGAAATAGCACAACATTTTTTTTTTTAGATTTTATTTATTTATTTTTAGATGGGGGGGGGAATGGAGGGAGAAAGGGAGAGAAACATCAGTGTGTGGTTGCCTCTCATGTGCCCCCTACTGGGGATCTGGCCTGCAACCCAGGCATGTGCCCTGACTGGGAGTCAAACCAACAACGCTTTTGTTCATAGGCTGGTACTCAATCCACTGAGCCACACCAGCCAAAGCAACAACATAACATTTTTGAATTCACACACAGGTGATTATTTTGTACAATGTAGTTAAATAGAAGTCATGGTTCTTTTAAGTCACCTGAAGGGATGAGGAATAGGAGCTAAGGCCTTCCTCAGCGCCCTCTGTAATAAATCAGATGCAATGAAGTTCTGTTGTGGTAACAGCATGCCAGTGGGGCACAAGGTGGGAAGGTTTTTTGTTGTTACTTGCTCAGTTTGTGACCCGAGGCCAGGATTATCATTTTGCTGTGCCTATTTTCCCAAATGTAAAATGACTTGCCATTTGTACATCCAGTAAGTATAACTTCAACTAAGAGATTAGTAAGGGTGAACCACTTCTTGAGTTTTATGGGATAAACTAAACTTCCCATTTCTCATCATTCATATGTGCCATTTTATACCATGTCATAAGGGAGAAGAATTTATCTGGAGGAAATAAAATAAATTTCCACACCTTTGTTCAGATGTATTTTCTGTTTTATGAGTGAAGAAATTGCAGAAAGTGAGAATTTGGAGAGGGCAGGGGAGAAAAGGGATCTATTAGTATGACAAATGTTTAAGTCCAGGTTCCAAGTCTGTGGAACAATTGAAGCAATGTGCAGAAGAAATACTTTTGGAGGCCAGTTTGAAAAGAGGAATGCTTGGCTGGGGAAAGAGCTGTATCCTCAGATGATTTTAGACACTAACTTGTGGTTAAATACTAAGTGCCAAAGACCCTAAGGTTATGAATACATCAGAGTTCCATAGAACTAAGCAAAAGAGATTCTAGAACTACAAAAGTTGTACACTGAATTTCCTTTTGAAACCAAAATAATTCCCAGTATTGCCAGCAAACCATCATTACTTTGGGAAATCAAGGTGCATTCATCAGGACATGTTGAGGGATAAAATGTGATGGGACTTGATTGTCCTGTGAGACTGGCAGCTTGCCCTGACCTCAGCTGAACTCAGCATGCGGAAGGGAAAAGCACTCTCGAAAGAGAGGCCCTGAGATTTCCTCATATCTTGCAGTGAGAAGAAAACAGTTCAGGGTCCATGTGTATTACCATATCCCAGTCTTTTCTATCTCTATGTGGGTGTGTTTGTGAGCACATGTGTACACATCCCCAGTCTGAAAATACAGGATAGAAAGGGGAGTGTGCAGTGTTTCTCAAATTTACCATGGAGTAACTGTTTGCTTTTGGATTAATGTGTTGTTTTGGAAAAGAAAAGATGAGAGTGGCTAATAGGAGAAGCTGTAACCTTGAACTTTGTTTCCCAGCAATGAGTGGGAAGAGAGCTTTGCTTTAGAACTCCAAGGATATCTGAAAGCTAAGGCAAAAGAGGACAAGGTTGGGATACTGAAAATGACAGATAAATAGAAGAAACTTTGGTTCAGGGCTTACTGGGCTGGAGAATGTTTATGTGGCAATTAATTATGAAGGTGCTAAGGATAAAAACCCACTGGTCTATGAAGTAGAATAGGAAAAACAGGTAAAACATTAAAAAAAAAATGTATCTGTCACCAGAGTGAGCCAGGTTCAAGGTCATTCCTGAAAACTAATAAAAAAGCAACTCATTCACTCCTTATTTTTGACTACCTTCCTTTCTTTACCAAACATTTAATCCTCAACAAAACTAAAAAGTATTCTAAAAGTGGAGCACGTAAATCTCATCTTGGGCGTGATTCTTTCTTCTGCTGACTTCACTACCTCTGTGCACCCCTTGGAGATCACAAAGATGCCTGCAGAGAGAGCAATACTTGAGGGGCAGTCAATCTGAAACTTCTAATAAATATTTTTACTAAAAGAGCACTGTAAGCTAGAAATGAGCACACTCAGATCCAACATTTATTTAAGAAAAAAAGAGGCTAGGCTTGCCGCTTAGTCTTTCATTGGCTTACTTGCGGGTGTGTGATCAGTGTTGTCAGGCAGCTGCACCCCCATGCTCTGTAAGAGGTTGGAAGCAGGTCCCGCCAGTCCAGCCTGGGAACTATACGATTCCAATATATTCGAAACCAGGTTCAGGTCTACATCCACTGGTGTCATAATGGATCCTCCTGCACCATTATCTTCCTCATCTGAATTCTTACTGGTAGATTCCTTATACATGGAGGGAAAAGAAAATCATGGGATAATATGCCATTAAATTGATGGCAGTTATAATACAAAGCTAAGCAACAATGTAAAACTGAATTCCAAAGTATTCTTGAGAGAAAGCAAAAATGAATAATAAACTATGTAATTTAAAACACGTATTAAAATTTGGTTCCAAAGATCATAACACACTTTCCTCCTAGGAAAAGTGTCTACAAACTGAATGAACTTCGTCACTATCCTGAGATAGCCCAAGGGAGATAACCAAGGTTGAGGAGGTACAGTTATAGTGTGCCTAAGAGTTAAAAAAAAAAAAATAAGGGAACATTAAACAAATATTTTCTAAGTGAAAGAAACTAGATTTTCTTCCCCCGACCCCCCGTCCAATGAAAAAATTTAAAGTAAAAACCTGAAACTGTTTGGAGTTGAACCACAAAGACTCCGAATTGTTACTTGAGCCTCTGATTTCACAGGCTGGGAAAAAATTTGAAAGATACAACTTGATCTATAAACCTTTATACCTTCACTATTCAAATGTGCATTGCTTGGGAGCTTGTTAGAAATATAAAATCTCAGGCACAGCTCAGACATACTTAACCAGAATCTATATTTTGATAGTATCTTTAGATGGCTCACATTCACACTGAAATTTAAGAAATACTGCTTTAGAGAAATCTAATGTATAGTTTCTACTAGATTTTGGCTATACCAGAAGTGACTATAGTTTTAAATGTGGTTTAGACAATCAAAGCAAGGGAATAACATTAACTAAGGGCCCATTATGGGTTTTACTGTTTCTCATGTTAATTCTATGACATGAGGATTATTGGCCAACGGACATAGTCACAGTGGATGACAGAGACAGATTTCCAACCTTAATCCATGAGATTTTAAGGTTCATTCTATTTCCCTAATTTCTTGTTCTAGGATTAGGACAGTGCTGGTATAAAAACCAGGATTAAAACACAAATAGAAGATGAATTCTAAATTTGGATCTAAATTAGGAGAACATACAATTCAAACACTATTAAGACTTGGAAAATATTTGGATACTTAAGGTCATTTCTCATTTTAAAAAATTAAGTTGTTAGTAGTAGTATATAACCACATACTAATTTATCACATGATTTTATTTTAAACACTGATAGATAACATAGAATAAGTAATAAAATTAAGCTTATGTTTACTAAAACAAATAATCCTTCATTTTACCAGAGTTAGGAAAAAATTGGTATTCTTACTTATTTCAAATCATAAATTTTTATCAGAAAAATATTACCACAAACCAAAATCCCTCTTAACGATAAAATATGGTTTTAGCTATTCTTTGTAACAGACTCAGAAAGGGAAAGAAGTTAAACACACATATACCATTTGCTTCTGGGTGGTAAAACTTTTGCCAATGCTGGTATGTGCCAGTTCCTGGTCCATCTGGGCCATGTATGACTTGAGATCATCAAGTGTTCCTTTTATAGATGCTTCTTCCCTGGGCTCCTGTGTTTCAAAATCCAACTCATCATCACTATCTAAACATTCGAAGTCGTCCTCATCCAGGTCATCGGAGTCTGATTCATGAGGTGTTGGCCCTATGCCCCAACAGAGAAAAAGCCACTTGGTGAAAAAAATTTCTGAGTGATTACACATCTCAAAAGACTTAAAATATTATATTATTTGCAGAAAAGAACCAATATACACAGGCAAACATCTTCACAAAAATCACTTCCAGAAAATGGTACCGCTGGCAAATATTTGCAGAAAACTACACAGGCTGACCTGAAAAGATTCAGGTTTTTTAAAAAATGTGATTTCAATTAATTAAAATTTTTTACTTAAAAATTTAAAAACTACATATGCATGGATACATTTTGATGTAAACATTCAAGCCACACGGAATTACTTCTCACATTTCACTCTCTTCCCAGAGTTAGGCATCTTTTAATAGTTTGGTGGGTATCCAGACCTTTATCTATGTCCTATATATATAAACATAGTTGTATTTTTCCCACAAATATATATACTGAACAATGGTTTGCTTTTTCATTTATTTGTATGTCTTGGAAGTCCTTCTCTGTTAAAGCATACAGATGAACCTCATTTTTTATTAAGTATTTCATAATACAGATATGCAGCTGACCCTTGAAAAATGCATATAACTTTTGACTTCCCCAAAACTCTACTAATAGTCTACTGTTGACCAGAAGCCTTACTGATAACATAAACAGTTGATTAACATATTTTGTATATGTATTATATACTGTATTCTTTAAGCTAGAGAAAAGAAAATGTTATCAAGAACATACGTTTATAGTATTTCCATGTAAGTGGACTCACATAGTTCAGTCCCATGTTGTTCAAGAGTCAACTGCACTATGATTTATTTAGCCATCTCCCTCTTGATAGACATTTAGGATATTCCATTTCTTTTGCTACTACAATGCTGCCATCACCATAATAGCACAAGTTTCCTTTTTAGAGAGTAAATTGCTGAAAGTGATATTGCTAAGTCAAAGTTTATAATCATTCTAGAGTACCAAACTGCCCTGAGAAAAGAACACTTATACTTCTACTCCACAGTGTTAATGCTGCTCTTTTCTCCAACCCTTGAGAAAACTAGTTTTCATCGATCTTTTAAATTTTTGCCAATCTGATGGGCAAAAAGAGTGATTTTGTATTTTAACTATGTATTTACTTGCTTACTGGAAACAATTAACTATTTTCAAATATTTATTGACTATATTTCTTCTGCAAGGCTATGCCTTTTTATATCCTTTGTTGATTTCTTTTATTGGGCTGTATGTCTTATTATCAGTGTGTAAGTTCAGTAAGTATAAAAGAGAAAAGTAATATAATATGGGAGCCAAGGTAAAGTCTATCTAAACACACAGCATTCACTCATTCAACAAATATGAGCAACTACTGTGTTAAGCACTGAGCTAAAGATCCTCTGCAAAATCATTCAGGATGGCAGGGATTCGTGATTGAAAGCAACGCAAAATTATGAGGAGAAAGCATTGTTTTGTCTTCTGAGAGATTCAGTGCTCTGCTGCCCTACCCATACTACTTAACAGTTTCAAAGTGAAAATAAATATCACACTGTAACTTACCTAAAATCTTGTCAAAATAATTAAGAAAAGAATCTGCATCAAAAGTGATTGGAGCTTCAGAAGGTTCTCTATAAAATTAAAGGAAAAAAAAAAGATTTATCCTGAATATAACTCTTTGAAACTTTTTCTACAGTAGCGCCATTCTTAGAAACATTATTAGAGCCATAACCTCAAAAGAGGTATAACAAGGAAGATTGTAGTTCAAATTTTAAAAGTCCTTATACTTCCTGGTCTTTCAGGACAACAGCAATGGGAAAGATTGATAAAATAAAAGTAAAAATTGCAATTTGTTTATGCACTTTTAACTTAAGTTCATTTAGGGATCTACCCACCCTTCACCTCCCACAAGAAATACCTAACGTTGGCAAAAAAAAAAAAAAAAAAAGTATTTCTCTTTAAAAACCAAGCATTTAAAAATTATTAAGAACAATACTGGACATAAATTTTAATCATCTCATGAGCTCCAGAGCATCAACCCTAATAAAGACATATTTGCCCCCTGCAAGTAACAATTCCATCTACCTTTTCCCCCATTACTCGCCAAATGTAACATCCAATTTCTTCTATTATTTCTTCCTCTGATGAACCCTTTTATCCCACTTGTTGAATTTGAAGCTTCCAATGTGCTTGCAAGTGGGAGACATTCAGAGTCCTTAACGTTCTGAGTAAACATCGAAAGAAGCACATGATTGCCCTAACAACTATGAGATGGTGGCTTTTAAACCTGTTGAGTGGTTACTTCAAGGATTGCGAAAGATAAAGTTAATAGAAATATGACTCCATATAAGTAAGTTGTCATGGTACTAGATACCAAAACAGGGAAACAAAGCGGTATAAACAAAGCAGTGCAAATCATTTACTTAAAAAAGTGAGGGACTGGCAACGATGGATGATTTCAACATCTCAGTTATAACTATTCACGGGTGTCCAACCTTTTGGCATCTCTGGGCCACACTGGAAGAGGAGCTGTCCTGGGCTGTACATTAAATACACACCACTAACAAAAACTGATGAGCAAAAAAAAAAAAATTTTAAGTAAATTTATGATTTTGTGTTGGGCTGCATGCAGCCTATAGGCCATGGGGTGACACCCCGACAGTTACACTTGAACACGAATTACCGAGGCAGCTCTGCTCCTTTGTGGGTTGAGACTTTGGATATGAAAGCTTTCATGCTCTTTGAGACTTGAGTTAAGTCATAGTTCTCCTCCTTCTTGGAAATGGGGGGCTCTGGTTCTTTTTTGCCAGCAGCTTCCTGCAGTAGTTGATCCAACTGATCTGGTGAGAGATCTAACCACTGATCATCTGAAAAAAGGAGAAAGCATGGTACTGCCACACTATACTACATTCACATGAAAGGTACCCTGGGGGAAGGCTCCTATGAGACTTAGATTTTTGTTTTTGTTTTTTTAAAATTTATTTATTTTTAGACAGAGGGGAAGGGAGGGAGAAAGAGAAGGAGAGAAAAATCAATGTGTGGTTGCCTCTCAGATGCCCCTACTGGGGACCTGGCCCACATCCCAGGCATGTGCTGTGACTGAGAATCCAACTGGTGACCCTTTGGTTCACAGGCCGTCACTCAATCCACTGAGCCACCCCAGCCAGGGGAAGACTTAGTTTTAATTTTTTCTAACTCATCTGCTTTATCCTGGTCCGTTACTTACCATCTTCTGGGGGAAGATTAGCTTCTTCTTTCTTAAGCTCTTCAATATCAAATGGTAATGTCTGTAATAAGGTTAAGATTTCTTCACCTGGGCTCATAGCAAGAGAGCTATAAAAAAATAAAAGACATAAGTATTTTTTAGTAAGAGCACTCAGAATATAATCACAAAGATAGGTATTTTAAAGTTGAAAGGAATTATCTAGTCTAATTTGCTTTTAAAATGTTTGTTTTAGGATATGGACACCTTTTTCTCAAATAAAATTTACCAGGAACTCTATAGAAGAGCTCAGAGAAAAACTGTTTCATACAGCAAAGAAAACCATGAGCAAAATGAAAAGGCAACCTACTAAATGGGAGAAAGTTTTTGCAAATCATATATCTGATAAGGGGTTAATATCCAAAATATTTACAAAACTCATACAATTCAAAAGCAAAAAATAAATACATAAAAAATTTTAAAAACCTCAAACAAAAGAAAAAAACAACAACTAGGAAACAATCAAATTAAGGAATGGGCAGAGGTGGAAAGTAAAACTGTCATTATTTGCAGGTGACATGTTATTGCATATAGAGAACCCTAAAGGATCCACCAAAGAACTACTAGAACTGAGAAATAAATTTAGTAATATAACAGGATACAAAATAAATATCTGGAAATAAGTTGCATTTTTATACATGAATAATGAACTATCAGAAAAGGAAACTAAGAAAACAATACCATTTACAACTGCATAAAAAAAATACCTAGGAATGAATTTAACCAAGGATGTAAAAGATCTGTATTATAAAACACTGAGAAAAGAGACTGCAGAAGATACAAATAAGTGGAAGCATACATGATATTCATGGATAGGAAGAATTAACATCACTGAAATGTCTATACTACCCAATGCAATCTAAAGATTCAACAAAATTCCTATCAAGATATCAATGGTGTATTTTAAAGAACTGGAACAAATATTCCAAAAATTTAAATGGAACCAAAAAGACCCCAAATAGCCACAGCAATCTTTAGAAAGAAGAACAAAGTTGGAGAAATCATGCTACCTGATACCAAATTATACTATAAAACAGCATGGTACTGACATAAAAATAGACATATAGACCAATGGAACAAAACAGAAAGCCCAGAAATAAACCCATGCATTTATGGTCAATTAATATTTGACAAAGGAGGCAAGAATGTACAATGGGGTAAAGATAGTCTATTCAATAAATGGTGTTGGGAATAGTGGACAAATACATGCAAAAAAATGAAACTAAGCCACCTTCTTACATTACACACACAAAAAAGTCAAAATGGATTTAAGACTTAAATGTTAAACTCAAAACTGTAAAAATGCTAGAAGAAAACATAGGCAGTAAAATCTTGGACATTTCTCATAGTTATATTTTTTCTGATATAGCTCCTTGGGCAAGGAAAACAAAAGGAAAAAATCAACAATGAGACTACATCAAAGTAAAAAGGTTTTGCACAGCAAAGGAACTATCAACAAAAGACTGAATGGGAGAACATATTTGCCAATGATACATCTGATAAGGGTTAATATCCAAAATTTATAAAGAACTCAACACCAAATAAACAATCCAATTAAAAACTGGTCAAAAGGAACTGAATAGACACTTCTTCAAAGAGGACACACAGATGGCCAACAGACATATGAAAAGATGCTCAGCATCACTAATCATCAGAGAAATGCAAATTAAAACCACAATAAGGTATCAACTCCTACTTGTCAGAATAGTTATCACCAGTAAATCAACAAATGTTGGTGAGGATGTGGAGAAAGGGGAACCCTTTTGCACTGTTGGTGGGAATGCAGACTGGTGCAGCCACTGCGGAAAGCAGTATGCAGTTGCCTCAAAAAATTAAAAATGGAACTGCCTTATGACCCAGCGATTCCACTTCTGGGAATTTATCTGAAGAAATCCAAAACACTAATTCAAAAGAATATATGCACCCCTATGTTCACTGCAGCATTATTTACAATAACAAAGATTTGGAAGCAGCACAAGTGTCCATCAGTAGATGAGTGGATAGAAAGGCTGTGGTGCATTTACACAATGGAATACTACTCGGCTGTAAAAAAGAAGGAAACCTTACCTTTTGCTATAGCATGGATGGACCTGGTGAGTACTACGTTAAGTGAAATAAGCCAGTCAGAGAAAGACAAGTACCATATGAATTCACTTATATGTGAAATCTAATAAACAAAATAAACTGACAAACAGAATAGAAACAGACATATAGAGAACTGACTGACATCTGTTAGAGGGGAGGGGAGTTGCAGGGCTGGGTGAAAAAGTCAAAGTGATTAACCAAAAAGAAAAAAAGCAAAAAGAAAACCCACTCCTCACAGACACAGATAATAGTATGGTGAGTTCCAGAGGGAAAGGGAGTGGAGGGAGGTAAAAAAGGATATAGCGGGGTAAATGGCGATGGAAGGAGGCTTGACTTGGAGTGGTGAACACACAATACAATATACAGGTGATGTTTTATAGCACTGTACACTTGAAACCTATATAATTTTATTAACCAATGTCACCCCAATAAATTTAATAAAAATCAAAAAGAAAATGGGCAGAGAAACTGAACAGATATTTTTCCAAAGAAGACATACATATGGCCAATGGGTATGTAAGACAGATGCTCAATATCACTAATCATCAGGGAGCTGCAAATCATTATCTCATTAGAATGGCTTCATCAAAAAGACAAGAAACAACAATTGTCTGTGAGGATGTGGAGAAAAGAGAACCCTTGCGCACTGTTGGTGGAAATGTAAATTGGCACAGTCACTATAGAACACAGTATGGAGGCTCCTCAAAAATTAAAAATAGAGCTGCCATATGATCCAGCAATTCTACTTCTCAGTATTTATCCAAAGGAAATGAAAATAGGATATTATAGACATATCTGCACTCCCATGTTTATTGCTGCATTATTCACAATAGCTAAGTTATGGAAACAACCTAAGTGTCTATCAACAGATGAGTGAATAGAGAAGAAGTGGTATATTATATATACACATGGAATATCATTCAGCCATGAGAGACAGAAATCCTGCCGTTAGCAACAACATGGGTGGACCTTGAAGGCATTATGCTATGTGGACTAAGCCAGACAGAGAAAGACAAATACTGTTAGGGTGAGTTATATGTGGAACCTAACAAAAAAAAAAAAGCCAAACTCATAGAAACTCAGAGTAGAAAAGTGGATGCCAGGGACTAGGGGGTGAGGGAAATAGGGAGAGGATGGTAGAAGGGTACACTTTTCCAGCTATAAGATGAATATAGTCTAAGGATCTAATGATGTAAAACGTTATGACTACAGTTGATAACACTGTATTAGTAACTGAAATCTGCTAAGATATCAGAACTTAAATTTTCTCACCAAAAATAAAGTGAAGTGATGGGTGTGTTAATTAACTAGATGGTAGAATCCTTTCACAAAGTGTGTGTGTGTATATATATGTGTATATATATATATACTTATATATAAATATGTGTGTGTGTGTGTGTGTGTGTGTGTATAATCTTATAATCTTATTTGTCAAGTACAGCCCAGTAAACCTGAAAGAAAGAACAACCTGCTTTGGTTGAAATGGCCTACCTGTCTGCCTTCCCCATTGGTTCTGTGGCCAGCCCCATGGAAGATCATCATGAAGTTGCTGATCTAGTACAACAACTCTTTCCATTTATATACATATGACATATGAGGAAAAAAAACCCCAGAGGGAAGTATGAACAAAAATCAATCTAATATGTATTATATACTAAGATAGGACTTTAAATACATTTTCTTATTTAGTCCTCTAATTACTATCCTGTTTTAAAGATGAGAAAACCAGAGCCCAGAGAAGGTCTATAACTTTTGCGGGGTCATTTAGTTGTACAGAGCAAAGGCTTGAAATCAAGTCTTTTGATACTATTTTCTGCTTCTCCTACTATAAACTGATGAGGAAATATGCAGTGAGATTATTTATATGAGTGAGTTATTTAAATTGATGGAACCTTGTCTCTACTATTTAGAAAAGAGCAAATTAAGTTATGTAATGAAGTTGTATCATTTGATAAACATTTGCACACCTTACTAAATCACATGGGTGATAAAAATATTGTCTCTATTCCATATTATGTAACTATTACTAGGGAAGAAAAAAATATACAAATAATCATAATAAATTATATACTACAAAGTCATACAGGGATGCCAAATGCTATGGAGCATCATAGGAGAAGTTAATTACATCCATTGAGATGAAGGCAGAGAAGTTAAAAAAAAAAAGTGAGAGAGGGAATGGAAGTAGTTAAGTTAGGCCTTTAAGAGTGGGGAGGATTTTGACAAGTAAAATTAGGCAAGAAAAATAATGAGCATTTGTATTGAGGCAGGGAAGTGAGGAACAGGTTCCGAGAGCAATGGCACTTGGATTGGTTTAAGCAGGGGAGAAAAGCTGGACAAAAGGACTAGACGAGAGCACGGTGAGCCTGAAATGGCTAAGAACTTGGGGGGGTGATCAACGATGACTTGTTTGCTATTTTCAATTTTAGTTTTAAGATATTTAAATAATATAGACTCATCCAAAGGATAATATAACAAATGTCTATATTTCTACCACCCAGAATTATAATATTGTTATATTTACTTTTAGTTTAAATATTTATACATTTAACATAAAAAAACTAAACTAGTAACATGTATATATACTTTTAAAAAAACATTATAGATAAAGCTAATGTTTCCCACAATGACCAACACTCCCAGTTCCAATCCATTCTCCTGCTGCTCAGAGGTGACTGCTCTAACAAGTATAAGTGTAGGCAACTGTGCGCGCGTGTTTCTATGTTGTATTTGTTGTTTGTTCCCTTTACCTGGAACATTATTATTCCCACAAATACCTATATGCCTCATTTCCTCCTTTCATTCAGGTCTGTTCTCATCAGAAAGGCCTCCTTAAACAATGTAGCTAAAATAGCAGCCTCTATCTCTCTTCCCACACACAGCTTTTTCTTCAAAGCACTTATCGCCATCTAATATCACACAGTGGTTTACTGTCTTTCTCCTACACTAGTATATAAACTCTGTAAGGACAGGGCAGCTTGGGGTTCACTTGGATCCCCAGTGTCTGGAACAGCGTCTGGCACAGGAGATAGTCAAATATATATGTTGAATAAGTGAATATAAATGTGGTTTTTAACTGGGGATAATTTTGTCCCCCAGGGGATATTTGACAATATGCGGTGACATTTTTAGTTGTCACAACTGGGGGTGGAGTGAATCCTACTGGTATTTACTGGTTAGAGGCCAGGGATGCTGCTAAACATCCTACAATGCACATGAGAGTCACGCACAACAGAGAATTATCTGGTCCAAAATGTAAAGAGTGCCAAGATTGTGAAATCCTGAATTAGATTTATGTATATTTAGCTACTCTCTAGACACTTAATTGGAAGTTAGTCCATCATATAAATGCATTGCAATTCAGGTATCTATTACCGATGGACACTTAGATTGCATATAATTTTTCACTATCACAATCTCATACTTTTTAGGAGAGGGGAGTAACATGATTAAAGATTTATTTCAAAAGATTCTCCTGGCTCTAAAAGTTGAATTGGAAGACAAAGAGTCCCTAGAGGCCAAGAAACAAGTAGGTATTGCCATAGCTCAAGAAATAAGTAGCTGGGCAGGAAGAAAAGGGAATGTAAGGCAGAAGATAATTGACGGGATCTAGGGACTCAGATCAAAGGACAGCCAGGTCTGGGTGATAAGGAGGATCGGGGCACTATTAAAAATTAGTGGGGCCCCAGCCAGACGGCTCAACTGATTGGTTGCTGACTCATACAGCAAAAGGTCACGGGTTTGATCCTGGGTCAGGACCAATACCTGGTTGTAGGTTCGACACTCCATTGTGGTTCATATGGGAAGCAACTAATCAATGTTTCTCTCTCTCTCCCCCCTCCTCTAAAATCAATAAACATATTGACAGGTGGAAATTAAAAAAAAAAAAAAGACAATGGGGAGCAATCTATGATATTAATTCAGCTATTTAGAAAACTGGAAATTCAATAACAGGTCTGGAGGAAGATTTCAGTTTGGTTTTAAACTGGTTACAAATTATCCTGGTTTAAAGAATAAATGTCTCTTCTGGAACATAATTAATATTTTAGACATTTAAGCAATTTGTAATTTTTTGCCAATAGTAAAAACATTGAGTAAATTATGGTACATTCATTTGCTGAAATGCTGTACAGCTATTTAAAGTTATGGCTATAAAGACTTTTTAATGTCATGGGAAAATATAAGTTCATAAGGAGTAAAAATTATACACAGTACATGAAATGTCTATACAGTATAAAAAACTTTTAAAAATCAACTGGGTTGGGGGAAAAATCCTGGAAGGCGGGAAAACAAAATGATAATAGCGGATGACTCTGTGGTATAAATTTTTTCCTTACATCCTTCTAGATTTGCTATAATGAATGAATATGTTACTTTTATAACAACAACAAACTTTATTATTTAAAAGGAAGAACTACCCAACCACCAATCTATCTCATTGTGTATGAGGAGCCCTAATTCTCCTCCTTATGACTCTAATTTCTTAACATTTCTTGAAACCAAGACTACAAGGTAACGGTTTTCCCCAGAGGAGTGGCCTCCTAAGGCCAAGAGGAACCACCTGGGGGAGAGACCCCAACTCTGAGAGTGACCCTCCTCCTTACTCTCCTGGCTCTATTTCCCATGTTTTTTTAAACGATACTCTAAGAAGTCATTGTCTTGCCACCAATTACTGCCATAAAACTGATAGAAATGGGACAAAGGTGTCGTCCCTAGATACTTACGAGTAAGGACTGCTGTAAAGTCATGATGATCTCAAAGACAAGGGGGGGTTAGTGCTCTCAACATCAACTTTGCTTTACACAGTCTTCAAAGAACGTTCAATTACACAAATCTATGTGATATGTGGTGGTTGAAATGTTGACAAAATGCCTTGGGTTCAAAACCAGATCAGTTTGACTTAAAAAAAAAAAAAAGCCCACAACAAAACAAAATACAGAAATATATAACCTGAGACCCCATAGCATACACAAGGCTATTTCTTTACGTTAGTTAATAGCTTTTAGTATCTCAAATTCAATTTTGAAAACATAAATTTTTTCCACTACTCATATTCCGACCTTTGATTCCTCAGCCCAATAAGACTTTCTGCTTCAGTTGTGCTTTCCTTGTGTCATACTGACTTGGAAGTGCCCTCAGAGGCAAGTCAGAAAAATGTGACCTCACCAATTGTGATTTTCTTCTCTTGAGGGTACTATTCCCTCCAACTTTTGCCTGCTTTTGTTGTCCTCCAGTGTCTTCAAAGAACTATTTTTTATATTCTGTCCAGGGTTTATAATTGTAATTGGAAGGGAGTCAGTCCGATGTGCTACTGCACCGTTGCCAGAACTGAAGCTAACTTCATTAGATGCTAAGGGGGCGCCATTTCCTTCCAACCCTGTATTCATTTCTTCCCCCCCCCGGAAATGTATGTCAGGTTAGAATGAGTTTTGATTTGGAAGCTGAATGCCTGCTTCGCCCTGTGTTGTAGACCCACCTAAAATAGCTAAACACAGCCCAGAACTCCTGTAGGAATTACTAGGCACTTGGCTCAACACCGGACTGCCTGAGTTTGAATCCTAGGTCTGTCACTTATTAGGTCTGTGACCTATGGCAGATTACTTAATCTCTCTTAGTCTCAGTTTCTCAGTTGTAAATAGAAAATAATAACAATTGTACTTATTTTATAGGGTTGTAAGGGGGAATTAAACAAGTTTAAAGTGGCCTTCACTTTAAGTACTCAGTAAATGTTAGCCATTATATGATGATAACAACAGTGACCAGTGCCAGAGATCGTCTGTACAACACCTCCTCTTCCCCAGCCCCAGCCCTTTCAGTAATCACGGTCCTTGCCATTAACTGTTTAGATATGTAAACTCCAGACCTCTGCGACTATCCTTAAGAGTAAGTCATTCTTTAACCTCTGCTGCCATGATTAAGTAGTGATAAACTCACCTTTCTGGTCGGTTTACTGAGAGTTGGAAGTAGTTCTTTGCCATTTCTAGTCTTTCCTGGTATTGCGCAGAACCTTCTATCAGTCCCTAAAAAAATAATAATGGCCCATCAGAACATTATTTATATGGTGTCATTAAAATGAGCTGCTTGCCAACAAGTTTCAGGGAGGCAGTACCTGATACATTGTTTAGGAATCATGAGGCTTGAGTCCTAGTCGCTGTTCTGCCATTAATACACCTGTTTGAGCTCTGGTTTCTTCAAATAAGTGGACTAGGTTAGAGTAAGTGGTTCCTAATCCTTTTTACCATTAAGGGCCTCTTTATAGTTTGGAAGGTTTTCTACCATTTTCTATTATCTAAGAACTGATTTGTGACAACTGTTCACCTGATACAAACAATAATTTTTATCACTTTACATAAATGTTATTAATTTTTCTAATACTGGATATAGTTCATAGACACCCCTTCATTACTACTGAACTAGAATGGTTCCTTTAAATTCTAGCTCCTCTAATTATGTCCCACATTAAAAATGGGCCATAGGACTTTATTTTTGTTAACTGAATTTATAGGTGACATTGGTTAATAAAATTATACAGGTTCCAAGTATACAATTCTACGATACATCATCTGTATGTTGTATTGCGTATTTCTCACCCCAAGTCTCCTTCCATCACCATTTATCCCCCTTTACCTTCTTCTACCTTCACCCACCCCCTCTTCCCTCTTCCCATCACCATACTGTTGTCTGTGTTGGACCACAGGACTGTAAATCACTGGCTTGATTTTCCCTAGATAGTACGATTTTAAATATGCACTGCAAGTCCCACCTTAAAGTAATCATTCTTTTTCAGACTGTCGAGGAAGCCAGCCCAGAGTGGTGAGGCAGTCACAGGGGATTTCTTGGAGTCAGAAAAATGTGCGCTACATTTGGAGCATAGAATCTCAAATCCATGAGCCTAGATGGAACAGATAATATTTTTATTATTTGGTTACTTTCTTTTCTTTTTTAAATTTTTTTATTGTCGTTCAATTACAGTTGTCCCCATTCTGCCCCCTGCCATTATTAGGTTACTTTCTTTCCATTTAGCCACCTCAAGAATCAGGTGACTGGGCACATGGACATGTGGACATTTATGACATTTTTGGAATTTTATGAAAAATCTGACTTTATTTCCAAGTTTCCTAATCTCCCTAGACTACGAAAAATTACGAGAATGCAAATAACACAAAATAAGAATTCTTGTTATCTCCAAAGAGATTTCTGTTCTCGCTGATTATTAAATTAGAATATAAATTTATTTCTTGTTTGCTTAAAAAAGGCTTGCATGCCCTGGTCTGGTAGCTAAGTTGGCTGGAACATTGTGCAGGTTTGATCCCTGGTTGGGGCACATATGGGAGGCAACTGATCAAGGTTTTTCTCTCATATCAATGTTTTTTTCTCTCTCACCACCTTCCTCTCTCTCTCCCCCTTCCTCTCTCTAAAAATCAATGAACACATCTTTGGCTGAGGATTTAAAAAAAGGCTTCAGGCTTCTTGTCTGACAGAAATTATAAAGGAATTGAGATGGTCTCAGATATGGTAAAGTGAGAAAAATCACTTCACCTTAAGAGTCCTTTCACCAAAAAATATAATGAATGCACACAGCAAACTAATTCAAACACAGAGCCTTCCCGATCACTCTGGAGGAAACTGTTACCAATTTCTTGCACGTCACTTCAGAAGTAATCGATTTACTCATGCAAATAATCGATGCACTGAAGCAGATAGTGTACGTATATCCTACTATTCCATCCCTTTTGTCATTAAATGGCAAAGTATACACTATTCTGAACCTTGCTTTTCCTTTTTCTTTTTTTAAAAATATAGATAAGGGAAATTACTGGCTTCTCTCTTTTTTGAACCTTGCTTTTTCCTTTAGTCATATGCACTGGGGGTCATTTTATGTGAGCACACATAAATTTATCCATCTTACTTCATAGATAGATCACAATTTATCTATTCCCTACTAATAAACATTGAAGTAATTTTCAATCTTTGCTACTACAAAAAATGCTGTCATGAGTGTCCTCATATGTCTTTGTGCACTCATAAAATATATGGAGGATAAATTTCTAGAAGTGAAGATTCTGACCAGAAGAGTTTGTGCATTTTATTTATCTGTCTATCTATCTATCTATTTATTTATATCATCACCTGAGGACATTTTCTCATTGCTTTTTTTTTGAGAGAGAAAGAGAGGCATCAGTTGGTTGTGTCATGTACATTCCGTGACCAGGGACTGAACCCACAACCTAGGCACGTGTCCTGATGGAATTGATTCCTCAATCTTTCAGTGTATGGGAAGATGCTCCAACCATCCAACCAAGCCACACCAGACAGGGCAAGTTTGTGCATTTTATTTTTTTAATTTTTATTTATTTTTACAAAGATTTTATTTACTTTTAGAGAGAGGGGAAGGGAGGAGGAAGGAGAGGGAGAGAAATATCAATGTGTAAGAGATACATCAATCAGTTACCTCTCACAGGCCTCGAGCTGGGAACCTGGCCCACAACCCAGGCATGTGCCCTGATTGAGAATTGAACCTGCCACCTTTTGGTTCGCAGGCCAGCACCCCACCCACTGACCCACACCAGCCAGGTCAGGTTTGTGTATTTTAAATGTTGATGGATACTGACAAATTGTTTTAGGACACTGAATCAATTTATAGTCTCATCAATCATGTTTGATAATACTATCTCTTTATAAATTTTTACCAATATAGTATATATTATCAGATTTTTTGATAGTTGCCAATCAAATGGTGAAAATACTATTTTATAGCTTTAAATTGCATTTATTTTATTATATGAGCAAGGGTCAACATAATTCATATGTTTAGATTAAAAATCAGTGGTATCTCCTTTTCTCTGGACTACCTTTTTATGTTTCTGAACACTGTTAATTAATTGATTAGTATTTTCTTCATATTAACTTGTAGGAACTTTATATATTAGAGAATTCAGCTTTGCCATTTAAATTGAAAATATAATACTTTCTCCATGTTTACTTTCTTTTGATTTTATTATTGGAATTTTTCTTTCCCCCACACAATCAAATTTATCAATCTCTTCTTTTCTAGCTTCTGGTTTCAAGTCATGCTTAGAAAGGCCTTTCCTACTCAGATTATAAAAATTTCTCCTATGTTTTCTTTTAAATTTTACAGTTTCAATTTTTTCATTTAAGTATTTGGTCCAACTGTAATTTATTTTGGGATAAGTGTGAGGGAATCAACTTTAACATTCAGATGGCTTCACCGTTCTATCATCATTTACTGAATAATCCATTTTTCCTTCTTATTTGAAATGTCACATTTTACTACATGTTCACTTATATAAATAGGGTTTATTTCTAGAGTTTATATGCTGTGTCATTATTCTCTTAAGAGCATTTGTATATGTAGGAAGAAAATAAATTTTTCTGGTTCAACTTTACCAACTTCATGCCTAATTCATGGGCTCGGTGCTGGGGATGGGATGGAGGAGGCAGCTTGTATCCACTCCGCCGGTCTGGCATAAACCTTTGTTGCATCAACTGTGCATACAGACATTTAGTAAAGGTGACCTGGATTATTGAAACATGAAAGACGTGAGTCTTTTCTTAAAATTAAAAAATAATTTGAATCTCATTTCATAGTTAATAACAATAACTTCATTTATAAGCTTCATATTCATATGAAATGCAAAGACCCAACCTATTCACTGCCAATATTTCTTAGCAACAGCTTGAGATACAATTCACATACCATAAAATTTACCTTCACTGTCTGCTTTTTAGTTATCATTAATGGAATTATTACCATTAGTTACATTAAATGGCAATTTTGATGGGTAGAAAATAAAAATATAATTCTTATTTCTTGAAAAGAAATGAAATGTTTTATGTTAAGAAGAAAATTATTATTCAAATAGGAAAGATATGGTCAGAAATAGCTCGGAAACACTGATACACAAAACAGGGTGTTAGGTCTCTTGAAATCTTCCTCACTGGATATAAGAAAAAAGAAAAAAATGGGTATTAACTTGAAATAAGGAAACAGAATATTTCCAATTTTTTCCAGTGAACAATTAAAATAACATTCATCTCTCCAATGAGACAAACTAAATAACCAGGACTGATTATCTTACCGACGTCATTATTCGTGTTTCAGGCAAGAAAGTCTTGAAAATCCTACAGGCTCGCAGGTCAATGGGGTCCCGTAGGTAAAATGCCTGGACTCCTGCGGCTACCAACCTAGGGCGCTGCTTTAGCACTGCTGCAATGCCAGCTGGGAGGAAGCAGTGAGCTCGATGAAGGGAGGCTTGAATTTTTTCTGGGTATCTGTGACAAGTAACATAATTACTTTTATGATATGTAAATATCTAGAATCCTTATACCATTTACTTCTCTCTTAACATCTTGGTTCATCAACAATGAGATGTAAATAGTGACAAAAGACATAAAGATAAAAATACTGTGTATACTAACAACTGCAGGAAGGAGGAAAGGGAAAGAGAAAAAGTGAGAGGAAATGGCAAATTTTAAAAAGGGATTAAGGTGGTTCAATAAAAACAAAACAAAAACTCTACTATACTTTGCAATAAAGATAAAAGTTTACCCTTCTAAAAATATGGTACAAAATATACTGAAACAAAGCTAAAAGAGATTTTTAATATTGCTAAGACCTGAGCGGTGATAAACATTTAAGAGCTATTCAAATTTGAATGACTTACTAATGTGTTATTAGACTTAGGCCTTCTCTTCTGAATAGAGGCTAAAGTGTTCCACATAGGTCAAAGAATCCCACACATAGCCCAGAACCACTGAAAAACCTAAGCACATTGTGCTCCCTTATGTTTTCATTTCTAAAGATCTCAAAATTTTTATTTCTGGATATAAATAATACTGAGCCACAATATCTAAGGTAAATAATATAAAAATATTGGGGCTGGTTTATAACACTTTTAAATGGGAATTAAAAGATATGTTTCCTGATTTTAAAATGTTAGTCAATTTCATGAAGAATAATGATAAAATGAAAATTAGCATTAATCTAAGCAAAAGAAAGTCTACAGTCAATGAAAGACTTGAACTGCACTAAAGTATAAGGCTCCTTGACTAGCAATGAAAGTGTTATTTTTTTTACCCTCTGATACGCCTATTCACAGCAGCTCGTATAGATTCTGAGGCCAAAATTTTTTCTGAGTGTGTTGAGATTATATTCAATGCCTGTGGGATTGTTGGGGGTGTAGTGGGCAACCAGGATGCTGCTCCAGGTTTCCTCGGTGCAGGAATAATGCACAGCTCCCCACGGTAGAAAAACACCTGCAAAATGATACATTTTAATTTTCATACTAGGCACTGACAAACTCTAGGTTCTATTAAAAATGTTGCAACATGATTTTATCCCCCTAAATCTTCCAAATTTGTGTATACTTACTCTATTAGCACTATTATCAGGATCCAACCACTTGGGGAGAAAGTCAGCAGCTTCTATTAACAAGAACTCACCATCGTTGTCTTCGATCCTAATGGAAAAAAAGTTCCAATTTTGCATTCATAAAGCACATACTTGCTAATAATGAAATAGATTTTTTGATTAATATACTTTTTTCATTCTAATAAACTTTTTCATTTATCTTAGTAACTATCTAAGTTTGTACTATATATAGATTGCTACAACAAAGTAAATGTTTAAAATACAATTAAATAATGAAGATTATGATTGTATGGGGGAGTTGGAGAGAAAATAAGTGTACAAATAAATAATAGTAGACAAAAAAAAATACAAAGTACTATAGAATTTTAAAAGAAAAAAATCACAAATAGCCAAGGTAAGTTTTTATGGAGGTGTTACTTAGGCCTTCAAAGATAATTTTGTTTTGCCCTATTTGCATTGTTTTTTGAATTCAAATTTGTGAATAAATAAATGAGTCACATGGCTACAACTTTAAAACATAAAGTTACACAATGAGCCCTGTCGGGTGTGGCTCAGCTGATTGAGTACTAGTTTGCGAACCAAAGAGTCAATGGTTCAATTCCTATTCAGGGCAAACGCTTGGGTTGTGGGCCAGGTTTCCAGTGTGGGGCATGTGAGAGGCAACCACACATTAATGCTTCTCCCTCTCTTCCTCCCTTCCCCTCTCTAAAAATAAATAAATCTTAAAAAAAAGTTACACAATGAAAAATCTTATTTTGTGTCCCTATATGCCCTACTCATACCCCTTCACTGCTGTTATTTCTTATCTATCTTTCCAGAGTTTGCTTATGTGTAATCTGGCTAATAGGAATATAAATTTTTATTTTCTTCTATCGTCACACAAAAGGTAGTATTTTTTATATATATATATTTCTAGGTTTTTTAATGGGTGGAGATGGAGGAAGAAAAGGAGAGATGGTCTTAGCAGAGGGAACATCATGAGCAAAACCAGGGAGGAGGCAACCGTGATGGGAGGAGACTTGACTTGGGGTGGCAAACACACAGCACAATATATAGATGATGTGTTATAGAACTGTACCGCTTAAACCTGTATCATTTTATGATACCAATGTCACCCCAATAAATTCAATTAAAAAAACATGGAAGTGGCAAAACTGACAGTGGGTATTTGGAGAATGACAACTAGTAAAGAACAAGACTAGAGAAGCAAAGTTATGTCATTTTTAAGAAGAGCTTTAACTGCTGTTGGTAGAATCAATGAAAATAACCTTAGTTTTACAGACAAAAAGAATGATAGGTTTTAGAATAGGACAGTAAAATGGTTACAGCTCTACCTTAGGAAGATTAATGCAGAAACACGGAGAAAGACCTTCTTTTTCTAATTAAAAAACAAAAGAACTTACAAGACAGTAGATGCCTACTATTAAAAGTTTTTATAGGCCTGGTATGTAGGTATGGACCATCAGTATGTAAATACAAGAATCCGTACAAAGGGAGGGATTGCCCCCCTCTGTATTATACTTGTAAAGACAGAAACTAATATTTTTATATTTCTTCATTTAAAAACTTGTCATTTGCCCTGGCTGGTATAGCATAGTGGATTGAGTGCCAGCCTGTGAACCAAAGGGTCACTGGTTTGATCCCCAGTCAGGGCCCAAGCCTGGGTTGTGGGTTGGGTTCCCAGTGTGGGGCGTGTGAGAGGCAACCACACATTAATGTTCCCCTCTCTAAAAATAAATGAATAAAATATCTTTAAAAATAAATACAAATCCATCATTTATTAAGAAATTATTGCTAATTATTTTTAGGTGTTGTAACCATGCTATTTAAAATAAAAGGTCTTATTGTTTAGATTTACCTCCTAAAGTATTTAAAGGTTAAATGGCATAGTACTGGAGATTTGCTTTAAAATAATCTTGTTGTGTGATGGGGACATAGGGGAAAGGTTTAAATAAGAATAATGATAACAATTTTTGAACCTGTGTGATAGTTACACATGAATTCATTCTAATTTTATGTATGTTTGAAATTTCAATATAATACTAAGTTTTCAAAGTTGTTGTTTTTCTTTTTGTTCTGCCAGGGAAGAGAATGGGTGGGTAGAAAAAGATCAGAATTTGGGGTCTGATTAGGAAACTAAGATAAGTAGTAAGTGTGTACAACTCCATCTGCTGGCAAAATTTGGTCATTACAGAAAACTATCAGTTCCCATTTTAAAAATGGAGTTAGATTTTACTTTGTTATCCATATATTTCACTGATATTTCTTTAAATTTCTTCTGTATATAGTTTCTCAAAAATTTTAGTTATGGTATAATATACAAAGACATAGTAAATACATCTGTGAAATATGTGTGTGGTGTGTGTATGAAATTCTTTTAAAGATCCACAATAAATTCGATGATGATCACTTCTGATAATTTTGTTGATCACGGGTATTTTTTCTTTCATAATGAGAAAACTTCAAACAAGAGGGTTTTGTTTGAAATTTTTTGGAACGTGAACTCTCCATGGATACTTTTCAGTCTCCCTCAAGAAAAGGAATTCACAAGAGAAAAGAAAGAAAACATAGAAATCACTTTTAAAATCTGTGTCCCAAATTTGTGTAATTTATACCAGCCTACAGGGAAAAAAATTACTGAATGGAAAAAAATGCCATCATTTTCAAGAAAAAAATACCTTTAGAATTATTAAATAACTAAAATACCTTGCTACCAATTCTGGAAATTCCTCTGTAATTTGCTTTACTATATAAACAATAAACCATTCATCCTCAATGTTATCCCCAAACTTTGTCATGCCAAATATATGAGCAGGAACACCTCCTAAAAACAAGAGAAAAGCAATCATATAATCAAATTAATTTGCCAGTGCAAATAAAAATACAAATAATCATTCCATTAAACAAACATTTATTGACTATGCTCTAGGTACTATTCTAGGAGCTGGGGTTGCAGCCCTGGACAAGAGACAAGAAACATACTCTTGAGGATCTGAGGGCCTGGACAACAGGAGATAGACAACCAAGCCATCTCAAAACAAGATGATAAACAGATGTATGCACTGAGGACTAAGTGAACATAAAGGATGTAATATCTTAGCTATGCTCATCTGAAAGAATGACCAGAAGTAGGCTTTACAGAAAGACAGAATAGTACGTGCAAAGGTACAAAGGAAGGACAGACAATAGAGTGCTCTGCGAATATCAGTGAGTATGAAGATCTGGACGAAGTAGAATTTTCGAACAAGTACATTATCTGATTATATGTAGAAATTAAACAACTTACTCTTCAACAACCAACAGGTCAAAGGAGAAATCACAAGGGAAATTAGAAAACATCTTGAGACAAATAAAAACAAAAACAAAACATAAAACTTATGAGATGCAGTGAAAGCAGTGCTAAAAGGGAAGTTTACAGTTACGAAAGATCTCAAATTAACAACCTAACTTTACACCTTAAGGAACTAGAAAAAGAACAAACTAAATCCAAAGCTAGCAGAAGGAAGGAAATAACAAAGACTAGAGCAGAGATAAATGAAATAAAGAACAGAAAAGCAACAGAAAAAAATTAACATAAACTGAGTTGGTTTGTTGAAAAGATCAACAAAATTGACAAAATGTTATATTTACTAAGATAAAAGAGATTGGACTCAAATAAATGAAATCAAAAATGAAAAATGGGATATTACCACCTATTACACAGATACAAAAAGAACTATAAGAGAACAATATGAGTGATTATAAACCAACAAATTGGATAACCTAGAAGTGGGTAATTTCCTAGAAACACCCAATTTAAGTAGACCCAATTTAATTAGATTGGGTTGAAGGGAAATAGAAAATCTGAACAACAAAAGAGTCCAGAACCAGATGACATCACTGGAGGATTCTACCAACCATTTAAAGAAGAATTAAAGTCTATACTCCTCAAACTCTTACAAAAAATTGACGACGAGTGAACATGCTCACACTAATTTTATGAGGCCAGCATTACCCTAATACTAAAGCCAGAGAGACAATACTAGAAAACTAGGACCAATATCCCTGATGAATGCTGATGCAGAAATCCTCAACAAAATATTAGCAAAATGAATTCAATAACACATTAAAAGGATTCTACATCAGAACCATGTTGGATATATTCCTGAAATGCAAGGATGGTTCAACATATGAAAATCAATCAATGCAATACATCACATTAACAGAATGAGGTCAAGCAAGTGCATGGTGGAGTGTCTCAAGAGCTGCCCTGGCAAAAAAAAAAAAAAAAAAAAAAAGGAAAAAGAGCCCAAGGAACTCTTCTTCTCCCCACCCCAAATCTTTTAGGTTTGTTAAACTGGAGAAGCTCCAATAATGGTACCTATTTCTATCTACCTTATATATTAAACTTCCTCCAGAAGTGATATGGAACTGTTCAAGAATGTTAGGCAGGAGAATGACATGATCAAATTTATGTTTTTCAAAGGTAAGTTAAACAGTGTGAGGAAACTGGAGACACTGGAACCAGAGAGGTTAGTTAGGTGGCTATCATGATGAAGAGATGAAGAGGGCCTAAACTGTAGCCAAACAGATGTAGAGAAGGGGTAATATTTTAGGAGTAATAACATTAGGATTTAATCCCTGACTGAACATGGTGAAGTGAGGAGCTGAGTGTGATTGTGAATTACTAACTAGCTTGGATAACTAGTTAGTAATTCATTGGCATTGGATAAAAATGATTTTGTAGAAAAAAGATAAGGAATTGGTTTTGGATATGACAGTGTTCCTGCCAATAAATACCATATGTATTTTATTTTCGTGAAGCAGCAGTTCAATAAAATTAAAAGTAGGAAAGACATTTGGCAGCCAATTGAGAGACAGACTAATGGTCTCATAAGATGCTCCTGATCTGAAACAAGACCTCACATAAGTCACTGTATAAGTGCAGCTCTGGTCACTTATCCATGAGCCACTTTAGTAAAGCTAAAGAAATTGTAGGACAAAATGCCTTATTTGGCCAGGGGTCAGATCTCAACAACACAGGGAGGACAGTGAAGGAAACCCAAAATGCTTCCGAATGGCAAATAACTGTCATAAAGCCCAATTATTTCTCTTTATATGCCGGGCAGAGCCACTCTTAGATTGCTACCAAAACAACTATGTACAACAAGGTAGGCTACTAAACACATCACCAATGGTGAGAAATGCATGCAAAATAACAGCTAAAGATGCATGAATCTGTTTTGTATAGGTACCTAGATAAGTTATGGCATAGAAAAGTAAAGTTTAAAAGAATAGGCCCAAGTTTTTAATAATGTTGATATGTTAGTTCCTAAGGTAACAATTATTAGCGTGTTTTCATCAATATGAGTTAAAAAAAAATTAAGGGCATAACTGAAGATAGGCAAGCATCACTAATCTAAAAAATTCAGGAAATAAACCTCTTGAAAATACTGAATAAACTATGGGCTATTATATATCACTGTTATCAGGATGACATTAAAAGTTATACATATCAAATCAAAATAAGTAAAAGAGCCTTCCTTACCTTTCCCAGGTTTGTATCTGAGATTGAAAGGCTGATTCTGCCAGATGTAAGGGACCAATATAGGTGCAAACTGGGTCATTATTCTCTCAATATACTTTTGAAGAATCTCCTTGTGTTTTTCTGGGTCCCTTGGTTCATCTGGTATCAGGAACAGGCGGTACTCCACAGTATCTTCTACTGTAGCAAGCTTCATATTTTCCTCCATTCTTCTCTGAAAACTACATTTAAAGTTTCAATAGTATAAACCATATAGCACAATGTAGGAGTAATAGTCCATTCCCTGAACTATTCTAGGTGATTCCATTAACATTGTTTTCCAAAATTCAGTTATCCACATACCATTATCATCATATCTGCCTTGACCATGTATCAAATATAACACTTATTTAATGTTCTTTTAATATTTTTGTACTTAAAATTATGTTTATACTTAAAATTGTTTAAAAACTTGTGATATAACACAATGAATGGAAATCCTACATCATATTCTCAAATTAAGTAATACTTATATAAGGATATAATTTAAAAATATTTGCCCTTGTAGTTGCAGTGGCATGTGTAACGCATTTTAAGAACACTGCATTAACATCTTCTGTTGAAATACTACCCGAAGTCCCAGCTCTGCCACTAAATTATTTGTGTCATTTTGGACACTTCACTATCTCTTCCTGGGGATTTTTCTTTAATCGTAGAATTATCGAGTGTTACTCCACCATCTCTAAAATCCTTCCCCGATTTACATTTTTATTATTCAATCCCTCTTAAAAGCAATCTTCCTTACTCTGCATAATTCTAATCAATCTCTTTTATAAACATTCTATGAAATAGGGCAATTCAAAACTACAAAACACTCATGTCTCTTCCCAAAACAATTTGTCCATGGTTCTTGATCTGTTCAAAATTTGCCCATTTTTCAGGTCTCAGGGGAGCAAAGCTCTAATACAATAAGAGGTGGGATATCTTTATTTTTTAAGCGTTTCCCTTACAAACAAAAGTACTAGTTTGTTATTGCTTCCAGGTGATGCTTGTAAACAATGGCACTGCACTGGACGGCCCACGTGATCCGATTTTTATATTTACTTGGCTTTCTAACGGACTAATAAGATGAGGTCGAGAGGAACCTGCATCTTATATCCAGACACCCATTCACCACAGTTTGTCCAAATCATCATTTGGCCTTTCAATCCAGAGGGACAGACAGAAATTCTACCCACCTACCCATCCCAGAATGCCAAGCACACATTATTATGAAGAATTCAGTGTCAGAAGCAGAAAGGACATGAAGGTCCCTCGAGCTAACTCCTCACTGTACAGAGGAGAAAACAAAGGAGCACAGAAAGAGAAGCGACCGAGCAGCTGAGGCCCAGCTTGTAGTCTAGGGCTCTTTGCTCAGATAAACTCCATCCTTCCACCTGACAAAATGAAGCCAATTCCTCTTACGGTTCTAGGGTCTCTCCTACCCGTCTCTGCGGCGGCACCTTTCCTCTGCCGCCCCTCCCACCGCGTGAGCTCGTCGGGTACAGCCAGCAGCTGCCAAATACTGGCCTCAGTTTCGGTCCAGGTGCCTGTCTGGAACCTGTTTTCTGAAAGGCAGAAACGCGCTCAGCGCCGGAACCCGTCGTCGCTACTGCGCTTAGGCGGGAGCATTAGGCCGGTGCCCCGATGTTATCGTCACTTCCGCCCCCGCGGGGGAGTAGGGAGGGCGGAGGACTGGAGAGGCTAGGGAACCAGAGGAGGTGGTGGATCGGTGTCTAGGCGACGGGGCGTGACGGGGCTGAAAGGTGGCGGGAGGGGGCCGGGCAGGAGCCGGCGGGAGGGCCAGGCCTGGAGGCCCCCACCCTGGCGTGCCCTCCCCGGCCGCGATTGAGAAGGAAGAGGAGGATGATCTCCAGATACACTCGGAAAGCGGTGCCACAGAGCTTGGAGCTGTGAGTGCCCTGCTCAACCATCCCAGCCACGGCCAGGGGAGGCGAGGTGGGGCGCAGGCGCTCTGGGGACCCTTCGTGACCAGTCCCCTCGCTCCTTTCCTTTCCCAGGCGGGAGAAAAAAATTTTCTTCGGAATTCTTTCCTTTCAACCCTGTCGGACTTTGCCCCTTCTACCTACCTCTCCAGCTACGGTCGTGTCACCTGTGCTATCCCAGGGCTTGGCCCTCTTGGGCTGCACTTCCTGAACTCAGGTCTCCTAATGCATTGGTAGTTTCCACAGTGCCTCGTGCCCCACTGTCAGTAGACACTGACGACTCAAGAAGTTATCAATAGCTGGCTGTTACAGCAAAGTTGAATGTATCTAGTGCCAGGCGCCTTGCAAAGCTGCTTACATTAGCTCACTTAATTCTATTCAACAAGGATAGCAGATGAGGACTGTTATTTGTCATTCTACAGATAAGGATCCCAGATTTAAAGATTATAGCATGCCAAAGATTACTCAGCCAGAAAGTAGTGGAGCTGAAGTGCAAACCCGGTGGCAATGTGATTCTGAAGCCTTGGTCATAACCATTACACATACTGCCTGTCCATTTCTACAGTTAAGCATCAGCCTCCATAAGGATCAGTTTTGCTCTGAGATTTTAGAGAGCAAATAATTCTGGCTAAAAGATGCACCTCCCACCCCCGGTGAAGTGCTGTAATTTAGTAAGTAATGATAATTTCACACATTTATAAATGCTTTACACTTTCAAAAAGACTTTCGCATCTCGATCCTTACACTAACCCAGTAAGATGGGTATGCTTATCTTCAGTTTTTCAGAAGATGCCGTATCAGACAGGTTATATACACATTTTAGGATTATATAATCAGTAAGTTTTTGAGCTTGGGCTTTTTAACTCCAACCGCCCCCTCCCTTCTCCAATGAGCTGTGTAATTTTAGCAACCATACAATTTATTAATATTAACTATACTTGGTATTGTAATAACAAGCTTGTTATTCTTCAGTCACATCTGAGTTTCTGGCTAGGGTTTTTTCTGGCCATGTGACTTTTAGGCAAATGACTAAATTTTTTATTCTTCATTTCTGTAATACAGGAATAAGACCTTATTTAAAAGCATATCTAAACTGATGGCACAGAGCTTGACACATGGTTGGTCCTCAGAAAATGGTAATTTCCTTGTCCCTTTCCACCTTTACTTGGTACAATGTACATACAAAGAAAGTCAGTCTGTGATCCCTCCTTGCCTTTCTGAAGCATATTATCTACTAAACAATAAGATATCTACACAGTGGCAATTCAGATAATAAGCTTTTTAGAAACTAGGAAGAAAGTCATTTCCTAATGCAACTTGGACTTAGCTAAAAATTTGCTCCTATAATAAATACTGATCATTCTGAAAGTAAAAACTATCTTTTATGGAAAAAAAGTGTTGATAGGCACTTATTGGGCCAGAATTACTGACCCAGTATAGTTCTGTAATTTGTTCTCATTTGTTAATTTGATACTCCCTAAAGATAACTCTCCCAAAGATGATTCTCTAGAGGAATTGGGATGATGTGAATAATGAAGATGATGAGTAATATATGCACCTATGTGTCCATAAGTTACAAGCAGCTTTTACTTTAGGTCTTATGATGATGATTTGCTTTAAGGCAGTAACTTTAGTTTTCTCCCTAACACTTCCAAATTATAGATGTTGAAAAGATTTTGGAAAAAGAGTTATTTTCAACATACAATTTTACATTTTTTAATGCTGAATTTCAAACACACATCCCTAGTAATATAAACCACAGATCACCACATTAAACAGTTTTCAAAATTTTAATGTATTTTCTTCATCTATATTTCTTTGTTCCTCATCTGTGAAATAAGGAAACAAAACCTGTGACACTATCATTTTATCCCTATATACCTCAATATACATTATAGACATTTCCTATGTAACCATAATACTGTTATCAAATTTAAAATTTCTTTGGAATTATATAGTTGTCACTCCATAAGCCATTTTCTTTGACACACTAAAAAATGTCTTAAGTTTCTGTGTCATAGCTGGAATCCACATTTCTAATCCCTACCACTGTCTCAAAGACAAGCTTTTGGTTGTAGGATCACTGAATGAGAGAAGTACAAGTAGCTCTCTGCACAAGTCCATCCCCATCATTGAAGAAATAATTTATACTACAAGCTCCACTGACTAAGCCCCTAACTTTATATTTGTATACCAAAAAAGTGGTATAGGTTACTAAGATCTCAAACTATTCATTTGCTCTGAGAAGCCTCAGAGCCAGACTACTTGGATTTGAATCCTGGCTCCATCACTTACTAGCCTTATAACCCTAAACAGGTTACTTAATCCCTCTAAGCCTCAGTTTCCTTTCCTGTGAAATAAGAGTATTAGAGATGTATAATATACATTTGCATATAAAAGGCCCTGGGAAGACCTCTTGTAAAGAACCTGTATAACTTTGTTTAACCTATCAGGTTTCCTAAATTTTTTTGACTACTGAATTTTGTGGGGGAGGAAAGTCTACTATAGATGATTAGGACTAGAATATATAATAATTAATGCCATAGTTCATTCTTATGCACACGTCAAACTCCACAGCAGCACTGTCCAATAAGAATACAATTCAAGCCACATACGTAATTTTAAATTTCAGGAAGTCATGTTAAAAGTAGTAGAAACAGGTAAAATCAAATTTTTTAGTTATAAAAGTATGTATAGAGCCCCATGAAGCCTTCACCCATCTTCTCCCAATGATGACATCTTACAAAATAACTATAGTATAATTTAAAAGCCAGGAAACGGCATTGTATAGTACTGTTAACCAGACTATAGACCTTAATTCACTTTTCACTAGTTTTTATATCCATTCCTTCATGTGTGTATGTGTGTACATAGTTCTATGCAATTTGGTCTCATACAAATTTGTGTAACCACCAGTAAAATCAGGATAGATATTTCATCACCACCAAGGAATAGTCTTGTGTACTCCTTTCTAGTCACATCCACTCCTTTCTCCATCTCCTGATAACCACTAATCTTTTCTCTGTCTCTATAGATTTATAATCTGTGAATGTTATATAAATGGAATCATATAGAATGTAATCTTTTGAGATTGACTTTTTTCACTAAGCATGATATCCTTGAAATGCATCCAAGTTGTTAAATGTGCCAATAGTTTACTCCTTTTCTTTCTTTCTTTCTTGTTTTCTTTTTTTTTGCTGGATCGTATTTCATTGTGTGGCTATACCAGAGTTTACCCCTTAATGACTTTTAAGTTGTTTCCAGGTTTATTAAAGTTATAAATAAAGCTGCTCTGAACATTTATATACATGTTTTTGTGCGAATGTAAGTTTTCATTTCTCTGGGATCAATGCCCAAGAGTGCATTTACCATGGCCAGGAATTACAGTTTTATAAGAAACCAAAACTACTCCAGAGCAGCAGTACCATTTTACATTCCCACCAACAATATATGAGACATCCCCATGTCCTTGCTTGCATTTTGTGTTATCACTGTATTTTATTTTAGCTGTTTTAATAGTTATGTGGTTATACGTTATTATATTTTCAATTTGCAGTGAAATTAATTTTAAGAATATATATTTTTAACTCAATACCTCCAAAACATTATCACTTTAACATATAATCAAGATAAAAAAATTAGTGAAATACTGTACATTCTTGTACTAAGAGTTCATAATCCTGTGTGTTTTACACATAAAATCTCATTTCTGACTAACCACATTTTAACTACTAGTGGCTAATGTACTGGACTACACAGTCCCAGAGCAGCAAGAAGTATGTGACTAACTTCTGTTTCTGAAAAGTATAATCTTTGTTTATAGGAAATATAACTTTCTTTTTATCTTTTGCAGGAAAGGAATAACAAAGTATGCTCTTAATCATCATCCCCTACCAGAGCAGCTAGATGAAATTTCCTCTACCAATGATAGCCACGCAAAAGACACAAGTTCCCAAAGGTAATGACACAAAGTATCCTTGTTTGCTTTTATACTTGATAATGGCAAAGGTTTTGTTTTTTAGCTTAGGGTAGGTCTCAAGCCTTCTACTAATGAAACAAAACAAATTTTTACCATATTTCATTACCATTTATCTTCAGTCTGGAACAGCTAAGGGAAAAAACATCATACGTATTTTTACAACCTTTGAAAAGTAGCATTATAAAGTAGTTAAAAGCATAGACTCAGAAGGAGTCCAACAGATCTGATTTTTAATCCTGGTTCTATCACTTCTTAGCTGAATAAAATTGCAAGTTACTTACCTGATAACAGTATCTCTTAAAGGTGTTGTGAATATAAATGAGATAAAGCATGCAAAACTTGGCACAATGCTTGGCATATAGTAAATGCTGTGTAAATATTAGCTGCATGTATTATTTTAAGAAATAGAACAGAAGAAATTATAACTTCAAAGGAGGTTCTGACAAGCAATGTGGTGTTATAGGAAAAATTGCAATTATAAAACTTAGTTTTAAAACCTAGAACTAAATTTCAGATTCTTTGTGTTTAAAATGGGGTTGTGTTCTGCATCACCAGGTTGTTGCTGGTATAAAACGGGATTAATATTTGTAAAAGTTCTTGGTTAACCTGAAAGTGCCATATAAGTTCAGATATTACCAATATTTTTGAAATGTCTTTAGTTGTCAAAGGTACATGTTACAGGTGGAATGTTAAAATACTGATTATAAACTATGACTAGCATTATATACAATGACTGCCATCAATTCTAGGAGAAATTGGGTGGGGCTTTTTCATGATGTTTAAATTTCAAGTTCATTGATTTTTTACTTCTTTGGATATATTTGTACATATGCTTGTCACCTAATTGCTGAGCTGTTAATGTTGCAGAAACTTGAGGAAATAATAAGACTTTTTCTGTTTTCTCTCTTCATTCCAAATTCTGCTTTTAGTGAGTCTGACATCACACAAGAATCACCTTTTACATCAGCTGATACTGGGAATTCAAGGTCTGCTTTTCCAAGTTATACAGGCACAGGGATCTCTACTGAGGGCAGCTCGGACTTCTCCTGGGGATATGGTGTGAGTTGTATGTTACTGGTCTGATGGAACACTTGGGAGATTATTCTGGGAGTTAGGATTTGTCAGTTTTGTCAGTGTCTTTCATTCCTTCACTCTTCTGCATTATTTCTTTACATTTTAATACTTAAATTTACCACATTTTTCTAACATTTATAAAGAAGCATCAGTCTTCACCATCTGAGTATTTGTTTTGCTTTATAGATATAGTAGTAGATTTTTAGGTATGCTTACTTAGTGTTTGACTGAAACAATTGTAGATTAGCATGGATGTGGACCCTGGACTTAACTCCTTTTGCTGTGTTCAGTTGACTAATGAGTCTCTCCACCAATGTAACACTAATGTTACTTTGTTTAAAATGTTTTTTTAAAGTTTATTAAGCCATTATACACTGGGAAAATGACCATGATATACTGTTAAATGAAAAAAGCAGGCTAAGAAGAATTTTTGTAGTTCTAATTTTATTTTACATATATGTTTGCTTTTATATATTAGAAAAAGGACTAAAAAGATATTTACCCAAAGTGTTATTTGGTCGTTATTAATTGGGTGTTGAGATTCATTTATTTATTTATGGCTATCTCCCATTGTAAAATACTATTTTTAGAAGACCATCAACCTTAAGAAAAATTGCCCTGGCCAGGTGGCTCAGGCAGTCCGTACACCAAAAGTTTGTGGATTCAATCCACAGTCAGGGCACATACCTAGGTTGTGGGTTTGATACCTGTCGGGGCATGTATAGGAAACAAACGATTGATGTTTTTCTCTCATATCAATGTTTTTCTCTCTCTCTGTCTTTCTTCCTCTCTCTCTAAATTAACAAACATATCCTTGGGTGAGGATTAAAAAATATTTTTAAAGGCAAATTTTAAATACGCCTATCTCCTTGATGCAACAGGTAGTTTTATTTCTGTATCCTCTTTCAATCTATGTTTAATTTGACCCAGCTATAATCATGGTGTATATACAATATTATGCTCTATTCTTTCATTTAATATTATTTTGTAAGCACTTTTCCACAGTACTGACTTTCTACCATATTGTTGTTAGCAACCTGCTTTCTTTACAAAAAGCCTGATAATTGTTAAAACCTTTTATTATCACCATTAATTATTTTCCAATCATTTTAATTTGGATATGTATAGACTCTCCTTACATAGTTGTATGATATACGTGTATCCTATTTTGTGGTCTAGTTTTTCATTCACCATTACTTCATATAGATACTTTTTTTTTTTTTTACTACTTCCATACCTGTCAGTTTGAATAGTTATATAACATCTCCTTGTTTTAATGTATCATAATTGAGCTTTCCCTTGTTATCTAATAATTGGGTTTTCTGTTTTTCTTCATTTAACATATATTTTTTTAGCACATTTGTTGTCAGACACTGTAGTTGGGAATATGGGGTGAGTGAGATGTGATTCAGTAGATTGAGAAAAGCAAATAAACAAAATAACTACAAAAGGTAAGAAGAGCTGAAAGGAAGATGACAGGGTCCTGAAACAGAACATTATAAGAGGGGTTCACTTTATTTTTTTGAGGTTTCAATATTTTATTCATTTTATTTTAAGTGATGTTAATTACAACATTTGAAAGGGAAGATCTAATTCCACAGAAAATCAAAGATTCTAAAGTGTACCCATTAGCGCTGGCTGGTGTGGCTTAGTGGACTGAGTGCTGGCCTGCGTACTGAAAGGTTACCAGTTCGATTCCCAGTCAGGGCACGTGCCTGGGTTGCATGCAGGCCAGCTCCCCAGTTGAGGGTGTGTGGCAATCGTTGCCATTTCTCTCATACACCAATGTTTCTCTCTCTCTCCTTCTTCCTCCTTTCCTCTTCTCTAAAAGTAAATTAAAAAAAAAATCTATAAAATGTACCCGTTAAACTGCTAAAAAATAAACTGAGTAGTAAGACTAAAACAGAAGTCTACTTTAGGTTCCAAGTGTTGTCACCATGTTATTACAGACACAGAGACTCTTCCTAGCTTGTAACTGAAGCTCTTAGAAGCTATTTCATACTCTAATGCAAGGGAAAAAAACACAACATGAGAGGGAATTATCCTCAATTATTGACTTCATCAAATCCACTCTCTCCATCCCAAAATGTCACAAAAGAGACAGCTACCAAAGTAAAGGCAGCAAAAGACACCAAAGACACCAAGAGACACCAAAAGTAAAAGAGGTGATGGCCAGGTATGGACGTAGGTCATAAAGATCTGTCTTAAAAGTTCCTGTAGATGAGTTGCACACAACAACAATGAGCCTCTCCCATTTAGGATAGGAAATCAAGGTTCAGTTCTCAGGAAGTCACAGTTTCATTAACTTATGCAATGCACATTTACAAAGTGCTTACAAGTCATCAGCTTCTACTTACTGGCATTTCTAGGTAAGGAAACCTGACATCCCTAGAGGGACTGCCAAGTTCTTCTTAGGGGATTCACTTTCAGGTAGAGTAGATCTGAGACTTGAAGATTCAGGAGTTAATCATGTGAAGAGTGAGGAAAAAAGCTTTCCATACAGTTAACCAGCAGCAGATGCAAAAGCCCTAAGAAGAGAAAGGGCTTCATGTGCCCAAGGGAAAGTGGTATGGTACTGGAATTTTAAAAAGGTCAGGATGATCTGAGAAGAGTGTATCAGGAGAAAAACACAAATGAGATTGGGAAGGTAGGCAGGACTGGAATCATTAGGTATTGTAGACCATGGCAAAGAATTTAAATTTTATCCTAAGGGAATGAGTGATTTAATTTGGTGACTTGCTGTGAGGTTTTAGTGAGCTGTGTGTGTCCATCAGCTGTTTCAGTATTATAATTAGTGGATGCCTAGCATTGTGTCAAGTACTTTCTATAGTATATTATAATTTCTTTGTAAATAATGAATGTCCCACAAATGTTTCTTATTCTCTTACTTTTTCCTTTGGTATTTATTGTGTAACAGATTTTTTAAAAATACTCAAATATAACCATCTTCCTATTTACCTTCAAGTCACTACTAGTCAGGATTTTATCCTTAGAAAGATGGAATGTTCTTCATAGCTTTTTAGTAGAATTTTGCGTGTTTAGCTTTTTGACTCATGAGACTTTTATAATATATGGTGTGAGGTGTAAATTAAGTTCTTATTCTGTTAAACCTATTTTTTAATGACTTTTCTTTACTTGATTTAGTATCTTGTGGCTTTTCATATTTTAAAAAATTTACTAGTGTTCACTAAACAATGTATATTATTTAGTATTTGTGTCCTCTTAAGTCTTTCAGATAAATTTTTTTCACTTTTATAACATTTTATAAACTATCAGGGATTTAATTGATTTTGCATGATAACTTTATATTAAATTAGGGAATGTATAGATAGAACTAAAATTTATTAAATATTTAGTAGATGCCATGCACTGTGCTAAATACTTTATATACATATTTCCAATAATTTGTCATCTTTACTGAACTTTGTATTCTAGCTAAAAATATAGTTATTTACATCTTCCATTTGTCCTATCTGACATTTTATAATTTAGTTTTTATTATAAGTTACAATTGATATTGAAATTGAATTTGATATTTAATTATACATTTTACTTACTTTTGAACTTAGTTTTTTTTTTTAGCTATCACTGGTCTATAGAAATCTAGTTTTCTGTCCCAATTTAATGACCTACTACTTTGCTAAATATATTTATTACTTATAATCATTCTGGAATTTATATCCTTGGATTTAATTCTTTTGGAATATTTTAAAACTCAAAGATAATACAATGGTAGGAAGGAAGACTTTCCTTTTTTAGTCTAATTATATATATTTAAATTTTGATAGCCAACAATCATAAAAATAGCTAACCCAATTCTTCTCTATTTTAGTTTTATATGCTTTGGGTTAATTAGTTTTAAATGATCCAGTAAGGTTTATTTTAGGAATACAAAGATGGGTCAGTATCTGCAAATGTATTAATATGTTTAACATTAGTGATTCAAAGGAAAAAATATGATCAAATCAATAGATGCTGAAAAGGTATGTGATAAAATTCAAAAACCGTTCCTTATCAAAATTCTCAAAAAGATAGGAGAAGGAAACCCTTAAAACCTATAATGACCATTTGCCAACTGAATAGCAAATAGCAGTTTAAATGACAAAACAAACCAGTTAAAATAAAGAACCAGACAGGAATTCTTTATTAACAAGTTTGATTTATTCTTTTGCTAACTTTGTATATTTTAATTATCCTTACTTTTACATAAAGTTTATTATTATACACTTATTTAGTGCCATTTTTTCACTTAATACATTTTGAAGAATATCCATATAATTTAAAAAATTCATTTTTTTTTTATGGCTACACAGACATTGCTATTACTGAAAAACAAAACAAAAAAACCTGCTGCATTTATACCTCGTACATATTTTATCTTGCATAAATGTAAATATACCTGAGGATAATTTCTAGAAGCGAAATTGTCAGTCAAAAGATAGGCTCTTTTGTAATTCTGAAAGCTGTTGCCAAACTGACCTCTGTAAAAATTATTCCAATCTAATATCTCATGAGCAACATATGGAAGGACCTTGTTTTCTTTCACTGCTGACCACAACAGTGAAATTATCAAACTTTTTAATCTTTGCCAGACTTAGAAGTTTAATAAAAATCTATTCTGACCTCTATCACAAGTTTTACTTGTTCTTGTCCTTCTTATAAATGGAATCATACAGTATATAATCTTTGTATCTATCTGGCATTATGTTTGGAGATATGGTATGTCTGTACATGGTATTGTACATATTTGTATTCTGGGAATTGCCTGTTTATATTTCAGACTCATTTTTTCTAATTGTTTTCATATTAGTAGGAGTTCTTTACCTTTTATATTAGAGGAGGATGTACTTTCTCTGTAAAGGGCTAGATCATAAATATTTTTAGCTTTTTCAGCTCTGTCAGGACCCTCAACTCAGTCACTATAATGAGAAGGCAGCAATAGACAATGCGTAAATTAATGGGTGTGTCTGTGTTCCAATAAAACT